TATTACTGATGCATCATGTAAGCAGCATTTTAATGATATAGCTGGTTGACAGTGAGGTAGCCTTAAATGACTGTACTGTTTGTTAGTTTAAAGTAGTAGAGTACAACATTTCCCTCTGAAACGTAATTTGGTACAAGTATAAAGTAGCATAAAAGGAAACACTTAAGTACAAGCACCTCAAAATTGTACTTAAGTAAAGACACACAAACACTAAATTGTGTCAAGAAGTGATTTCATCTTTATGCCTACTGTCTGGAGTCTGGACATGGGTGCTCTGCTTTAAAAAGGTGAAATCCCCACGTGTTTCATCTTCGGTGCTTCACCTACTCTTTGGTGTGAGGTGTTCTTTTTAATTTGTCTCTGGCAATAAGTGCTCAATGCAATATGTAAGTAATTATGGTTAAACACAGGCGCTCCAGGCAAAGTCATCAAAACTAAAAATCACCAGAAAATCATAAAAATGTAATTGAGCAGATTTTCCCTCACAGACTGAGGTTAACCTCTACCCCTAATGTTCACACAGAGCTGTTTGGTGGCCAATTTGATTCCACTGTGAGAGTGCGGGGGGGGGACTTAGAGCCATGCTCTCTCTTTTGTTTTCATGGAATCAGGGGCGGTCCTAGACCATTTGGTGCCCTAGGCGAGCTTTACTGATAGCGCCCCAACCCCACGAGAAAAGAACTCATGTCCAAAGAATTGCACATTTATTTAAACAATGATAATACAAACAATATAACAATATGTGCAAAAGAATAAACCTGTTCAATAATAAATATACAAAAAATAAACTTTTAAATATATTTTTAACAGTAGTGCAACATCTGAGAACAGAAAGTGCACACTAAAGAATCAAAACAAAAAATTCAACTAACAATAAAACATTGTGTGCAAAATTAGATACTGTAAAATGTGATTGATATAACCTATTAATCAAAATATAATATACAAAACAAACAAATAAGGTTCAAATTCACCCCAAGTGAATAGAATAATATATTCTACTTCACACTAATATCACACTTCATTCACAATGTGATCTTTCTGGCCTTCCTTGCCACAAACTCATCCATAACCTCCTCGTAGGAAATCTGACACTAACCAAACAAAGAGGTAAAAATGTCGGTCTTATGACTTATGACAGTCTTATTATGACAATACTGCGTCCGACTGCATGTTAATGCGGCCAACGGCCAAACCTAGCCGAACGCAGCGGGACGTCACACACCCTCATTGCTACTTAACGTTAGCTTACTAGTAAGATGACATGATGCTACTGCTAGCTAGCATGGTTATATCCTGAATGTTCGGTGAATTTAATAAATATATAATCAACATTACGTACCTTTCTCTTTTGCACGTTTCTCCTGCTCTTCTTTTCTGCGCTTTCCAAAGTGCGCCCCGGATGGCTTCTGCCGTTTCATTTTCCATGGACTGTAGCTGTAACCACGGTAACCCGTCGACACACAGCCGACCGTCCGACTGCGCGTCAGTGTGCGCGCTAGCATGTTGTGACCGTGACGTGTAACAGCTAAAGGTCACGTCAGAATTGTCATTTCTTTAACTTAAGTTTAATTTATTTTTTATGTCAAAGTATTGTTGTAGATAGAGGGATGGCAAAAACTGTTGAAAAAATAAATAGACATTATAATTTGAATTTGAATTTTTTTCTCGCGCGCATATTTGGCGCCCCTCACTAGGTGGCGCCCTAGGCCAGCGCCTATGTCGCCTGTAGGAAGGACCGCCACTGCATGGAATACCTGCTCTTGTTAAATGGCCCTTCCTAAGCCCCACCCCTTTTTGCTCTGAGCTCCAATAACAGTTGAGCAAGCGTTGGTCAACTTCCTCCCCTCCTGTGCTCAGACATGCAATGTGCGTACAGAAATAAGACAACCACATTTTGAAGATGGTGAAAAGATAAAATATAATAATAGTCCCATCTTAAGATACCTAGCTAACGTTAGCAAAATGCAAGCTAACTAGGTAGCTAATCTACATTAACCGTACCCGGTGGTACAGTGGTGCAGTGGTCCAAGGAGAAATGGGTATACTCTTCATTTTTAACTGCCCCTTTTTTTTTTTTAAGTGGCGCTGGATATTTAGTTCACCCAAAAACGGAAAGTAGTAGTTGCACATTGTCACTTAACTCCCGGCTGCAGTCGATGCTAGCTCACAGACAACAAGTATTCCTCAACCCTAACCTTTACTCCCTCCACTCAGAAAACTGGACAACTATCTTCATGCCTTCCTATGAATAAAAACATCAGCTCACAGAACACATAACTTGTGCCATGATCGTACCTGCCGACATCTGAAAGCTAATATAAGCAAAATGCTAGCTAGTTAGTCAGTTTACATTCATTATTTGCTAGCTAGTTAGCCTACATCTGAAAGATAGTACCCGCAAAACACGAGCTAGCTAATATTTTGCTAATATGAGCTAAATAAGGTTACTTTTCAACATCAACAAGCACATAGCATATCGTCACTGTCACATTTAGCTGAATGATCCAGGTGTGGTTTCTCTCTATCAATAGCAGACTGCGGCAGAAGTGGTCATCTAAGGAGGGAGTATAATGTTTCCATTAGAGAGCAACTTCAGCACCAGCGGCCTGAGCAGCAGTAAAACCATTGTCGAGGGCTATTAACCAGCATGTGTTGTAAATGAAGAGGCCAAATGGTGCTGATTAGTGGTCTCTCCCACACCGGCCATCACAGAGGAGAGGGGCTTTAAAGGCCCACACTCTTGCCAAGAGACAAACAAGCCCAGTACTGGAGCAATAGTTGGATTTTTACATTTGTACAGATCCACTAATTACCCTCTGAAAGCCAGGGTCAGGCCATGTGATGCATGGGATGGATGCATTCCTCATGGGCAACTCAGTCAGACGTCCAAACTGACCACCAGCTCCTGACAGGCTGTGAAAATCTGTCTTGGATTTTGCCAAAGTTGTTATGCTGTTGCTCTAAAGGCTGTTACATACTCGCCGTTCCCGACCTGTAGCGCGACAATGTGACGTCAAAATGGCGTAGATCTCGCTGACACGCCAGGATTTAGGCCAGGTCGTGCACCACTCTTTTTTTTCCAGCTGAGCGCGCCAAAGCAGAAACAGGAAGATGGACGAGTTCGAGGGCAAGCTTTCCGAGCAAGTGCGCCTCTACAGGAATCTGTACGATCCTTCAATGAAGGAACACAGAAGATGCCCAGAGGTGCCAGAATTCATGGCGAATGTTGGAAAAGAGGACGCCATATGCAGGAAAATTTGGAAGAACCTCCGCGACCGATTTGGAAAATCAAAAAAGATTGTTTACCTTTTTCTTCTTCTTCTAGTGCGTAGAAATAACAAAGTCGGTAGCCTTTCCTCAGTTGCTACACCTGTGTTCAGGAGAAGACTGCAACTAGTGTCGCGACCACCACGCGCAAGTATAAATAGTTACGCACTCCCGTGACGTCACATTGTGGCGCTACAGGTCGGGAACAGCGAGTATATGTACATATGTAGTGAGGGTAGTTTTCCTGCTGCTAGCTGTTGAGTTGAACTTATTGCAATACATAATGTTTTTAGAGGGGTTAAGTAGCTGGTTGACTCTCAAACAACAAACCTCTCTGACTGGTCACAATATGTTTTACAAATACTAAAGTAATATAATATTTTGTTGTGGGTTCTGTATTATCTCAAACATGAGGGCCTATTGGTTCCTAGACCCGGAGCCCTTTTTAAAGATAGATTTTTCACTCTAATTTGCAAATGTATCTGCTTGCACAACTGTGGCTTTTGGGGTCTGTATGGTCCAAGGCCAGGAACATCTGCCTCTCTTGGGTATTATGGCTTAATGCTGTTGTGGAAACAGAAACCCAAACTAAGTCCTGTGTTGTCCTCAGACTTCAACATCTGAGACACATAAAGGTCATGTCTTATTAAAAGGACAGCACTGTTTTTGCATGTTTTACTACAAATACTTTATCCAATTTCAAACCATTTTAAAATGATGTGTATCTGTGTTCTTCCTATCTTCCAGGCCGCTACTGGTGCTCATTCATTTCAGTGCCTTCAACTTCAGCAACTTGCAAAATTGTAAGACTTAATAGAGTTGTTACAATTGCTAGGGATGTAATCCATCACAGTAATCATGTCTGATTTAAAGTGTTATTAAAGTCACATTGATGTATTGCAAAACTGCAATGATGCATGATCATCTAGTTGCAAGTGTGGATGACATTTAAAGTCTACTCTGCAATAACCACACAACAGTGATCTATGTGGAGTTAGTATCCAGATCCATGTACCACCTTCTAAAAATACTCCATTATAGGTAAAAGCTCTGCATTTAATTTGTATTATTGTACTTGTGTAAAAGTACAAAAGCATTATGAGCATAATTTACTACAAAAGTAAAAGGTCCCACTATGCATGCAAAATGCCAGAATAATCAGAATAATTACATCATTAGATTATTAAAACTAATGCATTAACACGAAGGCAGCATTTTGCTTTTACCCTAACATTGCATTGCATTTTATATTTTATATTTTTACATTTTTAATCTGAAGCTGTCGTAAATATTGCGGGGAAATGAAATATTTCCCATAAGATAAGATGATAGAAGATAAAATAAGATAAAAACAATGCGTGTGTTGCACAAAAATATAAGATAAGATATTCCTTTAGTGATTCCCTGTAGGGGAAAAAGAGTAGTGAAAGAATAAAATATAATCAAAAAGAATAAGAAAGAAGAAAATATAAAAAATACATTCACTATATGCTGTACTAGTATGTACATACTGTTTATAAGTCTACATGTGCAATGTTTCAAGGTACTGTGCAAAAAAGAGTTGTGCTTAGCGGGTTATTAGTTAACAGTCTCATTAATAGTTAACAGTTAATAGCATACAATGAAAATATCAAGGAGGTAAAGACTGATACAACGTCCTTTCCAACGCTGCTTCCACTGAATCAGGATACAACAAAAAAGTTAGTGCCGCATTGTTTGAACGGTAGTCTGCAACCGGAACCCTCGTTCTTTCGCTAAAGTTTCCCCCGGAAAGGTTACTTCGTAGTACATGCTAAACGCTGCTAGCGGAAGATAAACAGAAATTTTGTCCAACATGGCAGAGGTAAGCTAACAATGATTCCCACTCTGTTTCACACGTCAGTGGCGTGTGAAGACCTCATTCCCAGTGTCGCAGTCGGTGCTGGTGCTGTGGGAGTAACGGTGGCCGGACAGGAACACAGCGGGGACGTTGAGCCGCGTTAGCCTGCTAGCTCACTGGGCGGTCGGTGACTTGACTGCTAACGTTTACTAGCAGCATTTCCATAAGTGCTAACCAGCTAGGATACCTCTACGGCCACTCGTATGTGCCGCAGTGTGGGGACTGCGTTCAATGAGTGCTCATTACATACAGTGTGTGTGTGTGTGTGTGTGTGTGTGTGTGTGTGTGTGTGTGTGTGTGTGTGTGTGTGTGTGTGTACGCACTGGCTCCAGGGAGGAGAACATACACACCTGATCTACTCACGGGTTAGAGACGGTACTGTTAGTGAGGATAGCTGGTCGCAGTAGATCTTCACAACAGTTTCAAACAGAACCAGTGTTTAAATGCCCCATCCGTGGAGACAAAAGACAGGGACATCCGATGGTCTGGTGCTGAAAGGAGAATGAGTCCTTTGAATCCATGCCAGGTGCTCATAGGGTATTTAAGTTCAATGGGAAACATCACCTGGTTTCCAAATCAGAAATGACAAACAGGCATTGTGAACATCAGCGACAGCACAAGTGTTATTAATGACTCTGACTGTGTTCTCAGTAGTGTCTCAGTAAACTGTGACAGTGAGACAATATGCCCCAGGAACTGAAGCAGCTCAAAGGAATGCAGACATCATTTTATTCCGAACCCCTTCCTTGTTCCATTAGCAGTTTTTTCTTTTCGTTGAGACTGTGTCTTCATGTCATTGATAAAGATTGTGACAGACATTATGTGCAGAGTGCAATAGATTCCTACACCAATAGACTGATAGGAGATAGAACTGAAGCCCTCTGGCATCAAAGTTCATTTCAATATATTTCTATACATTCATCTTTGTCTTTGCACTTTTTAAAAACAGGCCTAACCTAAAGTCAGCTGTAAGTCCTTCTAATCATTCTGTGTCTATAAATTCATGTCTATAAATCTGCCAGGAACCCAAAATACAACAAAAACAACACAGACCTATATAAAATCTTTGGAGTCAAAATACGCAATAATACAGTTTAAGGTTGTACTGTTTCACTATTTATACACACAAATATAGCAGAAAACTATACTGGAGGCAGTTTACATGTAAAGTGATTTTACTTGTTTTTGTGCTTTATATATTGATAGTTTATATTTGTCCCGAAGAGTTACAGACATAAATGAGACACTGTGTGAAAGCCCCTCAGTGGCACTTCCAACTGCTGTATATAGTATATAAAGAACTGTAAATGAAACATACTCAGTGTATTCACTGACCATGTTTCAATTGTTACCTCCTTTCTTCACAGACTCACAGCTTACAGGACATGAGGCAGCAGGCAGCCATCGCTGCCAAAGTCTTCCTTCAGAGAGATTACACCAACGGCACTGTGTGCCAGTTCCAAACCAAGTTCCCCTCTGAGCTGGAGACCAGGGTAGGTTACACCTCTTCATTGTGTTCTTCAGAATGACAGCTTCAGCCACACTAACACACTCAGACATGTTTCCCTGACCTCTGTCCTGTCTTGTGGGTGAGTTGACACTGGTGTTCAGACTGGTTTAAAGAATAATCCTGTGTAGGGCTGGTCAATATGACCAATGCAAGAAGATTATAACATGATTGAAACAGTATATATATATTATATTGTTTTATTTTATTTTTTTGCACGTTGTAACAACTGGATTTAATAATGTAGTCATTTTACACTTCATGCAAAACATTCTATATATCCACTTCCTATTCATAGTCACAGGGAGAGCTGGCAACCTTCCCAGCATGCACTGTGAAAGGCAGAGAGACACCCTGGACCAAGTCACTAGATCCCTCCCAGGGCTTATATCTGGAACCCTCTAGTTCAGTTTTTGAGTTCACCTGAGCTACGTGTCTATGAGAGGAAATCCAAGTGGAAGTAGAGATTTCTGGCATAACTTCACATAGTTCAAGGTGCACGCAGCAAAGGCAAAAGGCTTTAAGTCAAGTCTTTTAACCACCTCAATGAGAGGGAGAGCATCAGTATTAAGGATTGTATTACCTGCAAAACAAAACAAGAAGAGTGACGTAATCAGCCTTGAAATTGGAATAAAACATCACATTTCATCTCTATATTTTATACAGACAAAGTGGTGGTAATTGGGAGTTTTTTTACAAAAATCTTCTTAATGCTATGTGTTTTACGATGGACTTAATTTTCTTTTAAGTTTCAATTGTAAAGTGTTTTGTCAGTATGCCACACTAAATAGGCACATTTTGGGTAAAGGCCTCTTCTATATAAGCTTGGGTGCTGCCCCACAGATGCGTCACCCATGTCCATTATTGCATATGGAGTAATGGAAAAAAAGGAGAATGAATTAAACATTATAATTTAACTTGATGTTGAACAAAACGCTGCTTAAATGGTGCCTTTATCTTAGCAAACCATTGAGCGGATGTACGGCGGCTGTTTAGGCACTGGAACCAGAACGGCGGCTAAAATCAATGCGAACACGGATCCGAAAGTGAAGAACACCATCAGCAGCGTCTACTGAGGAACCCTGCTGGACTTTGTCCTCATGTGACCACACTGTGGAAGTGGGTTAAGAGCAGGCATCGGTAATGATGCGGAGGAGGAAGAACAGGTTGCTGAGACTGAGCAGCCTCCGCGCCACATTAAAGACGGTGCCAGCAAAACAGTTCAGAGTTCGCAGGACAGAAAGCTTAAGTTTTGAAATGCACGCACCACATGAAAGGAGCAGCTTCACAACACTCAAACCACTCACTGGTGGTTTATTGGCACTTCCCTCTTGATTGGGTGGTCTCCCATGTTTTCCGGTAGGATTCAGTTCTCACACACAAACACACTGAACTGCTGGACAAATGGAGAATGCTTCCCCCCACCCCCCCCTCCAGGAAGTAAAAGCTTAAGTCCCCTATCATAAAAAGTTCTTTCCACATATATTTTTTAATGTTTTTCTGTAAACCCAGTTTATGAAAGATGCAGTGAAAAGCCAAGCTGGTTAGTAGCTTTCATTTTAAGGACAGTCATTTGTGTCCCTTTGTGAGGATGTTTGCAGAACATATTAACCTCGTGTTCTTTGAGCCAACATTTGTTTACCCCAGCCGTATAGTTCAGGACTTGTTTTGCAGAAGTTTGCATGCTGTAACATCACATTCTTGCAGACAATTATCTTAGGCTGTGGGATTTATTATTTTTGGGAGCTCTTTCCTGTTTTAATGCTGTTGGAGAGCTGTGCCAAAGAACTGTGAAAGCACTCAGTGTTCTAAATGTATTTGGCAGCCAGATTGCCAAACCATTCAAGAGAGTATCATTCATTTAAGAACTGACAATTTTCACTGATCTGTGTCTAATATTTATTTCCTTGGTTCACATTATATTTAGTGACAGTTACAATTAAGACAATATCCTCTCTTCCACGCTTGAATTTGTAAACCCTGTTCAGCCATGCACTCTCATCTAACATGTTTGTAATGCTAATATGGCTGCGTAAGACGTAATGGAAAGATGCTCAGGCGGAGAAATGTGGTTTGAATTGTAGCCTCTGAATTGGAAAATGAGAAGGAGAACAAAGGCTCTCAATGGCGGGTACCAAACACGCCTAAGACCACTGATGTGTTGGAGCTTGTTGTTGCATTCCTCGGGCACAAGGGAGCAGAACATTGGAGGGTTTACAGAGGCTCAGGAGGCCCCTGGCTAGCTCCTCGTCTGGTCTGGAGGCTCCTTCTCTCCCCCCCTAAAATCAAAGAGAGATCACAAGATCCATTCTGGACACCAGCATGGGACTAGTGTCAACACCCCAGTCAAAACAGCCTCCGAGTCCAGCAGCTCTCCACCCTCCATCAGTCTTTCCTGCAGCAAGCAGTCATTTCAGGAATTGTTGAGAAACGCTGGTTTGATTATCAACCACTCTGTGTGCCAAAAGCTGTCTGCAGAACAGCAGAGATGCTTCTTTATCTTCAAGGTGTGCCTGTACCACTGGAGAGGAGAAACCATAAAGATTCCTTTCTGGGTTGTCACTGTGTGTGTCCGACTTTCAGCGCGTCTGTCCCGTCAGTTATTAAGTGAAAACATTCACAGAGCATATGGCCATGGCATCCTAATAATTCCAGGAGGTGTTTCCAATGTGGGAAGGAGGCCCAGCATTCCCTTGATGTATGACCAGTCCAAGAAAATTCAGCCTCTCGTTTATCTAGAGATGGAAAGAAAGGGAGAAAACGATCTGCTGCTAATAAGACCAGTTTCCACTCGAATATCCCAACAGAGGCAGAAAGCACTCCTGCAACACTACTGTCCAAACACACACCTGGCTCTGGGCCTCGTCTAATGACTTTAACCCCTTTGGTCTTTTCCCATCTCCAGATTGACAAACAGCAGTTTGAGGAGACGGTGCGGACATTGAATAACCTGTATGCTGAAGCGGAGAAGCTGGGAAGCCAGTCGTATATTGAAGGCTGCCTGGCCTGCCTCACAGCGTACACCATCTTCCTGTGTATGGAGACTCACTATGAGAAGGTGAGAGACATTTCACCTGCATAGATGCACACAGTTTGCTCAGCAGTCAGTCTTAATTTTGCTCATAAAATCAAAAGTCTGTGTGATTTTTAGTGGTATTTCATTATCCTTAAAAGTTAAATCATTTTACTCAATTTTCATTAACAAGAACTCTTAACATATTAGTTATGTTGTAGTCATCAATGAAGTATTTGTCAAAAACATTTTAGCCAAGGACTTAAATCAATTTTAATCTCATGAATGACTTGCTCAGTAAACACAGAGAAGTAGTTATTTATAAAATCTTACTTTTATGTGGAAATAATTTAAAGCAAAATCTTTTTAGATCTTTAGAGAAAAGGGATTTTCCTGCTGCTTATGTCGGGGTATTGCAGTTTTGGGAGGCATATGCGCCCAAGCCAGTGGTGAACTTTGCATTAGCTTTATGAGCAATGTGATTGGAATGAATTACCAGATGCAAGGTGTTTTGAATTAAAAACAGAATGCAGTGTTTCATAAACAGTGTCTCAAATTACAAAGATGTAACCTTGGCTGTTGAACCCAACGTAAGCACACCATCAGAAACGATATTAAGACTAAGTAAGTAAGAATCAGTATAAATTACCATTTGTCAAAATGACAAAAATGATATCACACTTGAATATGTGATATATAAATGATATCTAACAAGATAATGGGGTTGGAATGATCTTTTCATCCAGTTTCAGTATCAACATTTAGCAACGGTGGAAGAAAATGCACATTCTGGCTATGTCTTATTCAATGTGCAGTAAACCTTCAGTTCACCATCAGTGAGTGCCAATCAGCTTATTACCAACAGGAGCACCTAGTGGCTACCTGTAGTTAGAGGCGTCCCAAGACCAGCCTCAGTGAACACTTCAGAGAGCCCTTTCCTAAAATTTCAACAGTAAATCCCATAAGCCCATCAACCAAAAACCAAACTACACAAACCCAATTCTGACAAACAAACAGATAACGTAGTAACGTAGTCATGTGAGTCATACATTAGGGTTAGTTTCCAACCAACCAATTTGGGCAACAACATAACAGCTACATAATGAACCGACACATCACCATTTAAGAACTAGATTGTCAGAACATGAATCAGCTGTCAGACATGTTGATCTCACCCCGCCTGCTGCTTCTCAGTTTAGAGAACTAATCATTCTGTTTCCCAACTCAAGTGTGTCTGTGTAGAAAAAGTGATTAGAGGTGGTAATCTTAGGACTACTATTTCATTGCAAAGCTTAGTGGATTTTCACATTAAATGCCTTGTCTCTAGTTCATTTCAATAAGGAGGTCTCCTTTCCTGTAATAACTTGTACAACATTTACACTTACCCATCTTGAATCCCTGCAGTATAAGACAAATCACAGTGTAAGATATTTCATTGTAGTGTACCACAGATATGGTGGTTCATTATTTAACTAACAAAACTGTAGTTAGTCTTCCTGAAATGTCAGAAATCATTTTATCATTTGCGAATCCTAACAAACTTAAAAAAATAACTCTGCTACTCTCCCATCATGGCTGTACACTCTTTTCACAGCAAAACGTAGTCCAAATATCCACCTGTTTTTCTGCAAAGCCCCGCTGTTGCTGTCATTTAGTTTTTCATCACCTGCTCACTTGTGCAGGCTCCTGACACCGTAGGGTGCGGTTAGCTTCAGGGTCCAGCTCTGTTGGCAGAGTGCCTGCTACTGGGATGATAACCCAGGCACATAGGAAGAGAAGTCACGGTTCATAAAAATCTGTCATTTTGTGTGGTCATTTCTCATAAACAAAAATACATATGGATTTTGTTTTATGTTTAAAATGTATTTCAGTTCAGATCTTTGTTGTCCCTCAAGGGGACATACAAGGGAACATTTTTCATCAATAAAATCATAAAGATTTAGTTTTTGTTTCATAAAAATCTTTTTCCTCTCACCGATGGCTCATCCTAACCATTAAAAGTAGGTAGTTAAGGAACATATTAACAGTTCTTGATAATAAAATGGACACTTGTAGCATAGAGTGTTAAAAGCTGTTTTGTACTAAACCGAATGTCTGGTCAGATTCTATAGTTCCTGATTTCTGATCTATTTTATTCAAAGTTCTTGTTCAGCTGCTTGTGTTGAGTCATGCTTAACGTTTCAGAAGTTTGGCTTCTTCTGTTCAATTTAATTCAATTATTTCATTAATAAAAATTAGTATTATACCAGACCCCAGACTCCAACAGCTATATAGCATATGGGCAGTAGTACAAATGTCCAGTGATACGCAGGCCTAATAATGACCATCCATTTTAGAAATAGGGTGTAGAGATCCCGGGTCGTGCATTGGCCTCTGCATGTAGATATGTTAAGGACAGAGTGTATGGGTGACATTGGAGATGACTGAAATGGATTAGTACTTTAAGAAGTTGTGTTGCTGCTGTGTGGAAGCTCTTAGCTTGGCGGTAAATCAAATAATTTTATGACCTATGAGAGCTCGCAAATAAATATGATTTGTGCACATCTAAAATCCCTTTTGGCCCACTTCATATGGACTTGAAATGGATCTGCATGTCAGTGGTCCTTTCCTGTTCTATGAATTTGTCATTTAGTGGACAGGAGTGAACTGGGATAAAAACATTTGGCTTAGTTTGGGTTTTATGAGTGCTCATAAAGTCATGCAATTTAAATGGACTGGTCGTTACCAGAGAAAAACCAGAGTCTGTTATTCAACTTTTCAGCTCAAGAATGTGGTGGATTTGGCTAGATGGGTCGTCTGGTTGCCTACTTAGTCAGACAAAGATTGGCTAGTTTGATTCCAGGTAGCAACAGTACCTACTATAGAAAAAACAAGAGCACTAACACTTAACTCAAATGATTGGATGACAATTAGTTGATAGATAATTAATCTTCAACAGTATTGTTCATTTTTGAATCTTTTAATTAAGTTATCAAGCAAAAATGTTGGTTTTGCACTGTTGCTCGGAAAAAGAGCAACAGTGTTACAATGAAGAAATTGTGACGGGAAGTTTTGACTTATTTAGGTAATGTGCTAGACTGTTTCAGCCAAATGTGTAAACCTTTTAAAAACTCACCTACAAATCTTTAGCTTTGTGCTTTCAGTGTTATTTGGGTGGAACTCAACTCAGTCTTTTCCTGCAGCTAATAAAGTGGTGCTCAGTGACGGAGTCACAGCAATGCTCAAACATTAGCAATATCTCAAAAAACCTCCATTTACACCTCACGTCTTAAAAGTAAATATAATATCAGTTGACTGATGTTAGCTATATTCATCAAATAGCCCATTATGTACATACAACTGGCAAATGTGGTAAATCTGCACAGTTCTTACCGGTAACAGTGTATGGAATTTGAATGACATGATCCTGCCTAGCCAGATCTACACTTATGTGACCATCCATAGCACAACACTACTCTATGGAGTGTGATTAGAAATGTCCTCTGAACACAAGCAAACGTGCAAAAACATTGTCTAGATGAAATTGGCATAGATACAGTTCTCTCAGTAACAAAAATGTATCGACATCCAGCTCTAGTCTCACTAGTGCAGTGCCCGTAGGAAGTATGTATTGCTATAGAAAAGTAGGAGGTTAAGTAGCTTTTTCATGGATGGCCAAATGAGGTTGTGTTTGGGACGTCAGGGACATTTAGGTTTGTTGTGAAATGTGTAGATTGATAACTATCGTGTTTTCATATAATTTGGCTTTTAGCAAGGCCAATTCTCCGCACCCTCCTCTGTGTGAAAGTTTCAGATGCGGCGAGGGGGGAAATTTCCTCTGGAGGTAGTATCATGGACGCAGGAGCGAGGGCGTGTCGGTCGGACAGTCTGATAACTGCACAGGTCTCTCACTCAACTTAATAAAGAGAAATGTCCCACAAACCAAACAACAGTAACGTAGTAACTGTAACTGTCTTTGGAAACTTACATGAGGAAAAAAAATACCACAGCTGTACGTGGAGAAGCGTCTGTCCTCCTGTCTGTCCTCCCTCCTTTGGTGGGTCAGGATCTCAATCACTACACATTAGGGCTCTGCAGTGATTGGCTCTGGTGCGCACGTGGCTATGGTGGCTATGGTAATGCTAGCGGAATTCTAAATAATTTATGAAATAATTTATTAACTGTATCTTTGTAGTCCGAACAAAGCCGATGTTGCACACCCTTAAACCACACAGTAGCCATGTTGAAACTCTCAGGTCAGTCTGATCCTGATCTGCAGAGATATTTGAGCCACACACACACACGCACACACACACACACACACACACACACACACACACACACACACAGACAGACAGAGATTCCTTGCTTTATAGAGAGAAGAGAGATATAGAGAGATAGAGAGATGGCATGAAAACAAAGCTAGCATGGGGTAGACAGAAAAATGGAGGATCTTTTTAGAACAGTATTAAAGTTGAAAATGAAAACTTGAGTTGTGTAAATACTAAAGTAAGAGATTGAGATTCTTGTGTCTACATGCACAGTTATAATTACACCAGTGAACATGATGTCCATGAAAGATCTGAGAGTGTGTTTGCTGTGCCCTTTTTAGGTTTTGAAGAAGATTGCAAAGTACATTCAGGAGCAGAACGACAAGATCTACGCACCACGAGGCCTCCTGCTCACCGATCCCATCGAGAGAGGCCTGCGAGTTGTATCCTACTCTTCAGTGTCTGTTGTAGCCAGGAAATACTTAGTTCTCCCTTCCACAGCCTTAACTCTTGAGCCTTGTTTAACTTTAAATAAACTGTGAACAATGACCCACTAAATAGATGAATTGAAGCCATTTATTTGACTCTGTACTTCAGAGGAAACACAATAGTAGACTGAAACTCAGACTGCCAACCTAACAAACAAATTAGAAACACAGTCAATGTTTTTACAATAAAAAAAACAACCTTGTTATGCGAGAATGAGCATGTACGGGAAAGAGGAATGATATATTGAGTATTTTGGGTAAGTTTAACTTTTTAAGCATACCCGAGATCAGGAAATGTGAATGTAATCACACCACAGCCTTAAGTAGAACAAGGAGCTTTCACAATGACCTAATAGACTTGGTGATTTACAGGCCTTCTGCCCCCACCGCGTCTTTCCCTGTAACTGCTGAATGAAAATGGAAAGCAGCAGTCCGGGCAGCTTACAGGAAATCCAGCGCTATGTAGGGATACCCTGTAAAAACACCAGATAAAAGTTAGTATGTAATCTATAGCATCTGCATAAAATCAGCGGGTGCACCAACATCCTGGCTGTACCAGGTGTGTGTGTGTGTGTGTGTGTGTGTGTGTGTGTGGTGACTCAACATCCCAATTAATTGTAACTGGGCGGCAATGGGAGATTAGGGATAACAAAATATGACTGAAATTGTTCACAGCTGAGCTTTGTTCCCCCTCTTGCCTATGATTTTACAGGGTCGACAGTGATCTGGATTATTTCTCCGACACTGTCGGGCTGCTGTGCTGACTTTGGCACAGGAGCACCGGGAGATTGACAGGAATGTCTCACCTGAACTGTTGTTTTAACATTTGAACCAAGGTAACACGATGATCGTATTTGTAACTGTCTAATGATGTGACTGCTAAATACTGCCATCTGAGCATTCACAATTCCCTCCAAGTCTGAGGGGTTGAGACCTTTTTTAAAAAAAAAAAAAAATAACTTAGCAAGCAGTTAACCTGCTGAGTGGGTTGCATTGTTGTCATTTCGTCCCAGCTGTGATTTTAAGGACCAGTGTGTAGGATATAGTGGCATCTAGTGGTGTAGTTGCAGATTGCAACTCCCGTGCGTCACCCTGACTTTCTATGCGCAATGGGGAAACTACAGTGGCCACAAAATGTGTGACTAACGCACAAAGCCCTATCTAGAGCCAGTGTTTGGTTCATCTGTTCTGGGCTACTGAGACATGGCAGTTCAACATGGAGGCCTCCGTGAAAGGCGACCCGTGGCATCTGTAGAAAAGGCTTATTCTAAGGTAACAGGATGATAAATACAAATATTCATTAATAGCATTTTAAGTAGCCTAGTATTGTGTGACCTATAAGATATGTTGCAAAGACAACTTAAACGGAGACTTTCATTATGAAAACATTTGATTGGCCTCCGCTGTCACTGATATTCACTGAGTACTCTCCGTCTGTGTGTGTGTGTGTGTGTGTGCGTGCGTGCGTGCGTGTTTTCTTGGCCTTTCTCAACAACCGTTCATCTAATCGATTTTACATTGGTGGGTGTATTTCTGGGGATGTAAGGACGTGCAGTGTCGAATTTGGTGCAATTTGGACTTGTTCAATATTAACAAACTTTGAAAAAACAAACGATCAGCGCAGCAGCGGGTGCTTCTCTCCTGCCGCCTGCTGAAAAGAGCTGTCAACTGAACATTCGATCACACAGCACAGTGGAGGAAGAGATGCAGCCGCGGTTACACGTCTGTGTAAACAGGAGTTTAGCCGCCCTCACTGCATTTACTGTAACGACCAGAGTCTGTCAGTCAAACCTCTCTTTCTTCCCCCTCTGTTTCACACAGTTATGTGTTTAGCTTGTCATCACAGTTGTGTGTCTTTAAGACACAGCATTTGTGTTTTATTGACGTTTTAATGTATGCTTTTATATGGCTTTTTAATACGTGTTTCTGGTAGTTGTTCTAAATGGCTGGAATTCTGGAATATTAACATCAGTGTAAAGTCTGATGAAAACATAACTATGAATATTATATTCCGTTTCTGACAATAGATCGTCTTAAATGTTACACACTGGACCTTTAAAGAACTGTAAGAACCGTGCATGTTAGCTACTAGTTGTAATTGGAATTACAGAGTACGGAGGTTTCAGAAGTACGTGTTGCCTTGGGTCAGTCTGGTCACTCTCTGTGGCTCAGAAAGCGGAAGTTAGCATTAGTCTAGTTTTGCTAAAGCGAGCGAGCTTGTTGAAAAAAGGAAACATAAACATCTTGTATCAGTGTTCGTTTGATTTACAGGGCTATGACATGCAATTCAAACCCTCAGATGCCCGTCAGTTACTGCCATGGGAAGCACCCACCCACAAGCCTGCAGACGCTGTTCCACAAACATGTCCAAAAATGGAAAAATATGCACTGCATGGCTGCAGTATCATTATAGTTTATGTTACTTATGTACAAAGTGAGGAGAATTCAGTTGGCTTTAATTGAATGTCAAGTGAACTTTGCTTCATATGCTTTTCCTTGACTGAATCCTGTTAAGATTGAGGTCACCATCTTTGAAGACAGAAGCCTGACCAGATAAAAGCTGCCACGGTGAGTCTCATAATTAATATTCCATGTATAATGAGGACTTCTCTTACTAGTACCGGTTTGGTGCTGGGCTATTAAGTATGTACAACACAAGAAATAACTTGGAAAGCGTACAGATACATTTTTCCAATTCTGAAACAGACATTTTCCTCTTAATTTTTTGGAAAGTATTGCAAAGACAAAGGCTTGAGCCAAAGAGCTGTAATAAAAGAGGGTTCACTCTTTATGTGTGCTATTGCTTTCATGCAGAATGCCTCCTCTGCATTCAAAGAAAAATCCCACATCAAAGTTTAAAGCCCCTTCATCTGTGAGTAATATCAGCAAACAGTTTTACAGTCAGGAGGCCTGTTTGAGCATTTAAAGGATCATTCTGCTGACTTTGTAACTTATTGTTGCACGGCGCTCAGTGTTTTGTCAGTAACTCCACTGAAAGCTGTACAGTACTGAAGTACTATTAGAGTACTGCTGTCCAGAGCTCATGAACCAGAGCCAAACCCAGCAGCCGAACCCGAAAAGTGATTAAGTGTCCTTTCAGCACAACAGCACGCTCACTGCACTTACATGTCTTTAAGTAGCTGTAATCAAACAATTATCACATTTCAATTCAAATAGCCCATTTCCTTGTTTACTTTGCCGGCCGCCGGGCCTCTACCACATTCATTTCATATTGGAGGAGTTGGCACAGTCGGCTTTCGTGGCCTCAGTTTGAAAGAGTTGCTCGTCCTGCAGTGAGATACTGGTTGGATTTGTCTTACAAGCTTACTTACATGTTTTATCTGCTGAAATGGTCTCACTTGTATGCATTTACAATCAGCCATAAATAAACCCTGTACACACACACACACACACACACACACACACACACACACACACACACACACACACACACACACACACACACACACACTCTATACTACTGTTCTCATATTTTATACTGTTAATTAGGCTGATTCTTCAGTCAGCAGTTCGTATTTACTGAATATTTGACAAAGCAATACCAACAGCAACTCAAAGTAGTGTTAAGGTTACATCCGTATTCACATTAGCTCTGCTTTTTTTTGTAAATGTCAGCGTGCTGCCTGCTTGTTTTCACAGTTTGTCTCAGCTGTTTCGTTGCTGCTTCTTGTCTACCTCTCAGTGGATTGTAGATGAACTTAGCCCATTAATCTGTTTCTGACATTCCTGACAGAGACAGACTGCAAGGTGCTTTATATAATGGTAGTGGATAAGGTCAAACAGATAAATCAACTTCTGAACGAGAGACATTTTGGGCAATGGAGTATACAGTTTTAGTATTTAGGAGAATAAACAAATACACTTGTTAGCCTAGTGTTTTAATTCACTTTAGGCGTCTGTCACATTATTGTTAGTTTTTATTAATTGAAAATTAAATACATTTCGTCATAGGTTCTTACTTTCTATTCAATTTTTCTCTTTTTATTCATATTCTTCTGCATACTTTTCCTTGACAGAAATAGCAAGATTTAAGAAGAAGAATTAATTAACTGGTTCAGTTGCACTTTGAGCACTAGGTCTGACTCAGCCCCATTTTGTAGTTGTCCATCTCTCAGAACAGAAACATTTTGACAAAGCCCAAGTACCATCCAGTACAGAGCTGCAGACAGACAGCAGCAGTGTTTCCAATCACAGCTCTTGGAGTTTTCTTCTATCCATTGCTCTGACTATAAATAAAAAGGAAGGATTCCAGTGCAAAAACCTTTCCTTTCATAGACACTGTATCTGCATTTTAATGTGATAGGCGGGACAGTGTCTGAGGGGGAATGAGGGGAGTACTGTGAAGCTAGGTAGAGAGAGACTGAAATAACATAAGGCTGCTTCAGTATAGCTCATGAGTTTATGCTCTCAAGTGAATGGCCTAAATAGAATTTTACTGAGCAACCATGGAAGCCATACACTGGTTACTCTTAACTGTACACTGGGTACAATGTTAGAGCCATGCAGGACCACATGATTACATAGTAACTTAAAACTTAAAGTACAAGTCTCCTTTATGCCTTTTACTGAAGCATTAAGTGTTGAAGCTTTCAATATATTGTAGGATTTCAATATGCATATTTGTCCAAAGAGGTTGTACAGAACTGTGTATTGGCAAAAATCTGGATACATAGGTTACATATCACAGTGCATAAGATTTTGATTCAGTATATTGCCATACTGTAAGCAAGGCAATATATATATTTAAAAACTGTCATAGTATAAAAAACACACCAACATATGTAAAAAATCCGATCAAAAAGAAAAAGTGAACTTTTTTATGCAACCAGAACAGTGGGAGATGCATTTTTATTTATCACAGTCCCTGTAACATCCATCATAGCCCTAGGTTTAACAAAATATATCAAATATATTCTTACACTCCTAAGACTGTATGCTAGCTAGCTAGAAAACAACCTAAACAGGGTTTTATTATCATTTACATCCACCTCATCCTTTCAGCAGCAGCTATCTTTTGAACACTGTGTATGATGGTCTGACACATTGTCACTGCACATTTTGAGAAATAACCGGTAATAACAGGGGAACAGGCATACAAATGGACTCACCGCTGAAGCTACTACAATGACCCCTACTTCAGCTGCTTCTGGCCTCCGAGTGATGATGGCCGTTACCATCGCGCCTATCTGAATTATGTTGCATTGATGCAGTGGTCCAAGGGATCATCAGACTTAGATGGTTTAATTGTGCTAACTTGTGTGTAAATGTATGCTAAATTTAAGTTCAAGTGTGTCACTGATAAAACTGGTTAGCATTTCAAGTGGCGATGAGGTCTTAAAGTATGAAAAGGGTCTTACAAAAGGTAAACAATTTAAGTTTAGGATTCCTGCATATACTCTTATTTATTATTCATGCAACTTCATCTGTTAAAATGTGTTCAATGTCACCTTGATGCAGAATTTCTCAACTGTCAGCGTAAACCCCAAACTGCTCTGTTTCCAATCTTCCTTCCTGTCCCTTAATTGTATTACGCTGGAAAGAGGAAGAGCTTACTAAGACCAACTCATACAGCAAGTCACCAAATCTGATTAAAATATGAGGGCGTGTCATTGATTTGAAGGAAACTTATTCTGGGAAATGTTTTCCAGCAAAGACAATATTCTTTTACTTGTTTACTCTGTTATATAATTTGTTTCATTAAGAGCATTCCTCAACAGTTATCATTCCATGGTAGTTATGTACAATCCCGCAACGTTTTTGTTTGAATGCTAAAACATTGTGAGACGGTACAGTGTGATCGTCAACCACAGATGGCTTTTATATGTCTGCAGATCTTTCATCGTGGTAGACGCCTCACGGTTTTTGCCTCAGGAGCACATCTCATCCCATAAATTGTTCCAGTCTCTGTTACAGAAAATCCTTTCTTTTCCTCTTGTGTACAGAATAAGGCAAGGAAGCTCATTTTTCTGGTGTCATCCTAGGATGTGCTGGGCCCAGATCATACTGAAAAGTACTTTGTGTAGAGGCTGGACAGGGCCCAGTGTGCACTGCAGCGTAGACATCACCATCAGGCAGAGTAAGACTTACCCCATAAATATTTTACCTATGGGGAATGTTGTGTTTGGAAACTTTTTTGAGACCACAGACCCCTGTGGATGGATAAACCATTGCCCTACTACCGTACAGACGCATACAGGGATTAATCTTCTCGTTTGAAATTCCTGCCGAGCGCCTCGATACATATACATGTCCTGTTGAGGAATGTAAACCCAGGACTTTTATAAGTAGCTGTTGAGAGAAAAGTGCGTTGGAACTTTGCCATGGCCAAAGACCGGGTAAACCACAGACTGAACGCACATACAGTATATCAAACCTTCTCAGTGTTTCAGCCTCTTTATCCTGCCAGGGTATCTTCTCTGTCTCCTCCAGGCTTAGTCTGATGCATCAGCGTATCAGACCGACATCAGCCTTGTATTAAAACCCATATTGGCCTTTAAGTCGTCATTAAGCTGTCACGTTTTGATTGTGATAGAGCTTCCTGTATCACCAGTGTTGTTTTTTAAGCATCTGTAATCAGTAATCTTATACGAAACAATGGATCACATGACTATGCACTCTTTATTACAAGCAATGCATTTCACATAGATTATCACCTAACTCTGTAGTTCCCCTCATCTCTACACAGAGTTCTAGTGCCTTTATTTGCTCTGGCAGATGGATCTGGGCATTCAGTCAGATTTCCACCCATTCTGGATCTGGTCACGCTGATCACAACTGTTTATCTAATATGAGGCAGGTTTGATACAGTTATTGTACAGAGGAACGCGATCTTATTGCCCGTTGCAACCAAGATGGCTGCCCCTGGTGTGGAACAGTTTTTGTTGAAACGTTCTCTAAAAGAAGAAAAACTGCACTTGAAGCTTTTGATATGTTTGCTGTACTTCACACAGGATTGTAATTGTGGAATTTGTGTCATTTACCAACTGTGCCAAATCACATGCTTTGTCTTTGCTAATTGGCTGTAGGTCTATCCAGTTGAAACTGAAACCGGACTGAAACCGGACTGAGAGGTTTCAGAGTAATTTGCATTTGCAAATTGTTCTGGCGATGGCAGGCTAGTAAGTTTTAAAGTTTTGGTTCGCTTTTACCACTCTCAGCAAGCACTAAAAAAACCCAGCATACACTACCTGCCCAGCACTAAACTGCAGTTAGCAACTAGTTAGCTCTTAAAGAGGACTCTCTTTCATCAGGTGGCTAGAAACATGACTCCAGATAAGTGCTATATACATAATGCTGCTGGATGTGTAAATACAGTTTGGCCACTTCGGGTGAAAGAAAATCAGTAGCAAAGTTAACGCAGATTTAAAGCTTCAGTTGTTATTTTATATACTCCCTATATTTTTGTTTCAACTACTGACACAGTATTACCTTATAAAGTTCTTATGGGGAACAAGTTGTCAAAGAATAGCCTTTTTTAGTTTTGGTCTCTGGCTAATTAGCTTACTTGATGACCTGCTATGTTGGCCAGTGAGTAGGTAACTTTGTACAGTACCTGCACTAAATGACAGACAGACAGAGATTAGGGCAGTGAGGCTAAACTGTAACAGTTGCAGGCCAGATAACCCAAACAGTGAGCTGAAAGAGGCTGAAAAGCTCTGTAGAGCTGAATGGAATTGCAGAGTTGGATGATTATTCTCTGGGGGGTTCATAACTACAAATCCCTTTAACATGACAGTGACTTTATCCATTGCATAGAAAATATTGAATAGGGTAGCTTTAAGTGTCCATGATTTGGAGAGTTTTGTGGGATTTTCCACTCTGCTCAAAATAAATCCGGGGTTAAAACCTTGTATGTTTTTTTTTCCCAACTTATTTATTTTGTTTTAATTGTTTGAGCCTTTTTTAGCTAGAACATAAACTGAAATGTTGACTTATTATTGGCCCCTAGCTGGTCCAGAACAAAAGAAAAAACTGCTGGTATCAACCCTCCTCACGTATCTATCAAGCTGTCCTCTCTCACTCTCTCTGCTTCCCCGTTATGGCTGAAGGCCTAGCAGGCTTAAAGCAGGATTTTTTTTTTTTGTTTGGCTGGGAGCCTCCCAGTCGGAGGGCCGAACAGCGTGATGGATCAGCCTCTGGTGGGGATGACTGCTGTAGAAAAACCAGACTTGGCCCAAACAGCTCCCGACTGCTGAGCCATTCATTCAGAGGCAGATGGCACGGAGTTGGTGTCCTGGCATCTCGTGCAAAAGCCATTCAGCTCCAGTTAAGGTGTCGCTTGGCTCCACGTAGACACTCTCCACCTGACCACAGCACGCCAACAAACCTGTTGATTAGGCTGCACACATGAGAATATTTAGTGTCAGTGGGGAATGTTGGACAAGGCAAATGCAGAAATGGTATTCATCATTACTGTGTTGTTCTTTTCATTGTCTGAAATTAGTTCTTCCTAAACTGCCAAGAATATTTTTACAGGCCAAACCAATAGACATTTTTCCTTGAAATGTGTTTAAGCACATTTGATAAAGCATTCAGGGAACATTTGTACAGCACTTAGGTCAGCATTTACACATTCTTCATAAAAAACCTGAAAGAACTGTATCTGCGTTTGACACCAGCAATATAAATGCTCTCTGTATTTGATGCTTGTTTCAACAAACCAAGCATCAATTGCAGTGTTTTGCAATGTACTCTGTGTGACAGAGACGGCTTAGTTTAAATTGTTGTGTTAAACCACGTAATCTCACTGAGTTCTCTGTTTATAGTGAGCCAGCAAACAGATCTGTTAATTAGGATAAATCTTCAATAACTGTGTCTGTGTGTAAGATGTATTTACACTTTAAGGGTAAAATACACCAAAAACTTCCTGTAGATGAAAATGGAAAAGAGTGTTACATTATGAGCCATATCTCAGGATAGTGTGACCCAGAGTCTCAGGACTAAACATTCCTGTATTCATGTGATAATGTTTGCTGTTACATAAACCCTGAATTTTGTTGTACCAGTATCATAATCAGTCAAAATGTCTGTCCCGGCAGACATCTTGGCATTTCATAGCAATAAAAGTAAGTTTAACCAGATAATTCTTCAGAAGTGTGTTCGCTTCTGCTGAGAAATTGGTCGGGAATGTACACAGGTTAAAATGTTTGAAAATGTTCATTCTGAGATGTGAGATGTTGTATGAGGAGTTACAGTTTATGTGAGTTACAGTTGAAGCATTTTAGGATTTTAAATGGCATTTGAAATGTAACCATTGAAAGGAGGTCACGTGTCAGTTAGGGGTGTAAGAAAATATTGTACCGCAACTGTTCTGGTTGCATAAAAAAAGTTAAGGTTTTATGCATATGATGGTGTGTTCTTTATACTATGACGTTTTTTGTCAAACTGTATTCTTTTAATTAATTAGCAATATATCACCTAGCTTACAGTATAACAATATATCACAATATATTGAATGGTAACCCCTGTATTGTGATACATATCGTAAGATACTTGCTAATAAACAGGCCTATATAGTGGTGTGTTCTTTAACAGCTTTCCTAAAATTAGATTAAATAAAAAATTGCAATATATCACCTTGCTTAGAGTATGGCAATATATTGAATGGTAACCCCTATCGTGTTACATATATCGCCAGATTATTCCAGTTTAAGAGTTGGAAGCAGTCAATAGTTGAACGTAGGCGTCAGACAAAGTGTAAGCAGTGAGAGCAGTTGAACTCTTTTAAAGTACAAGATGAAAAGCAGTTAAACCACGAGCCAGTGAGTAAGAGCTGAATGGTCATTTCAAGTGGAAGTCTCTCTGCCTAACGCTGTACTTAAGATTATTAATGGCTGCATTCTGTTTGGGGTGAGCCACTTTAGGGGCACTGTTAACTGTGCATGCTGACTACTGCCATGGTTTACTGGTGCGCCTAAACAGTCATCATTATTGTTACACACTCTTTTCTTGTTAATGACAAATCAGAACGTCTGTTGTGAAAAGGCTTTATTTATTGCTCGCTCAGTGTCCCGTCGCTAACTGTTTTCTCTCTGTTTCTGTAGCAGCTGTTTGGCTGAGCGGAACTATAGAGCCTGCAGCAGCCCAGAACCAGTGCCCACCTCCCCGAGGACCACCCAGACCTGCACCCTTAATACTGCGTCTCTACAATCTATCCCTTTTCCACTAACATCATGTGCATGTCCCAGGTTTGAGATATCATACCCGACACTTATTCAGCTATTATTTTATCCTTAAGTGACATCCCTCTCCCTACTCATTAATCAAGGGTTAAAGTCTGTTTTATGCTTGTATTTGAAAGGAAAAGGATAACTCACTTACACAATGTATTGACATTCAAGCCATTATTTTATCCTTTATTTTGGACTAAAATCCGCTTTTTGGAATTCCTAACTTTTGTATATTTCTTTTCTTTTCGGACACTCCTTTTTGAATAATGGAGCCAACACACAGGGTAACATTTTTATGAAGGACTATGGAATTCAACCCACACCCATGCTTTAAGTGATTGTCTTGGCAGAACTGAGGATATCATTTAAATCAAACAACAGAGAACTCTGGTTATTAGTGTGATTTGCTGCATGTGCCACACCTCACACTTTGTTTGCTTTACTCTTATTCATGTATTCTTGCAAGGGTGCTTGGTAGTTTATCGTCTTTCCTGCATGTTTCCTTTGTAGCGTTTGACCTTAATATTTAACTGACAGCTGAACTTTGTCAGAATCTAAAACATTCCAGTCAAACTGTCAGATTCTAACCTTAATATACGTCTTTGATTTAAGAGATTATTTCTGAAAAACCAAAACTCGTGCTCGCTCTGTATTTAGCATGTAATATTGTTAAAGCTCACTTTTTTTTTGTAAACTGTGCTATGCATAGTGTTTGGTGACTACTGTTGATTTTTGACTCATGTTTAATAAGCATATATATTGTGACGTTGCCTTTGACCGAAGTATTAAAAGTGCTCTTGTTGACAGTGCCTGTAATGGCTTTGAATGTTGCCTTTGTTAAAGTCTAAAGGCCCGGTCACACTAGGAAACGAAAAATATTTCGCAACAATTTAAGTTAATTCCGCCTGAATCGTTAGTGAAATTAGTGGAATTACTCGCGGGAAAATCAGAGCAAATGTTTCACGTTGAGTTCAGCTTTTGTGAATTTGACCTTCAGATTTGCATTGTTGTCCACCAGCAAGCCTTCTTGACCAGTGTTGGGCTAGTTACTTAAAAAATGACATTTATTACTCATTACTCTTACCAATAGTAATTAGTTACACCATTAACCAAAAAAACCCAGTAACGTTATTACTTTTCTGCTTCTCCCCACAAAAGTGATAGTGTCCATTCTCCCCAAAATTCAGACTGACTACTAAAATCCAATTTTGTTTGTTAAAATCAAAGTAATGAAATATTTCTAGCCGCTGAGTATCTTCTTCTAAACCACAATTACAAAAATGAATCCAACGATGTGATTGGATTGTTGGATTTTAAATTAGTAGGGGTGCCAAAAAAAGTGATGTTATATTTTTTAGGGGGTAACTGTAATATTATTACTGAAATTCATTAGTTATTAGTCACACTACTGTTCTTTACTGTGCGGACCTTGGAAAGCCAGACAGTCCAAAATGGAGGAAGCTAATCGTAGCTTTTTAGCCATGTTGCACCCTTCACTTTTATTTAACCTCCTTTATCGGAGGATTGACTGTGCCACAAAAACAGATTGGTTTGCAGACAGTTACAAGATAAGAGTCGATGGTACAAATACGTCTTTTGAATAAACTGTGTGAACTTAGTTAGCTTAGCTCAGTTGCTAATGGGATAATGACCGTTAGCAAACCTTTTAGCTCTGACAGATTGAATTTCCCCCTTCAGAAACTGTTTCATTGCACAATAAATGGTGGACAAAATGCCACCAAATGGGATTAAACAGACCACTTAGAGGGAAGACCCCAATCTCCAGTCACCTGGGCTAGGACCAGAATTAGTGGTTAGCTCGCCAGCTACAGCAGCTCAACAACCAGCTCTGCGGGTAGTCACCGTTTTCTAGAACCACATCTTTTTGTAAAGCCGTGCAGATGAATTAGCTTAGCTGCAGCACTTTCTGGTGTGACCTGGCCTTAACTGTGAAATCAGTCTTGGCTTTGTTCACTTATTGTTAACAAGTGTCCAAAACCTAAGATTATGATAAAATGTTATTGAAACCTTAACAAAAGGTGGAGTATGCTGTGGTACATATGGCTGGTAATGTTTAATTATGAAATAGCTACATGTACAAGTATAGATTTTTGAATGCTGTAGCTAAAAGAGCAACAATTACCTTCATTTCTAATTATGTAAATAAAGTTTCATGGATCATTTTTGATTTAGCTCGTACTTTATCCATCTGGAGTTCGGTTAATTGAACTTTTCTATGTTTTTTTTTTTTTTTTTTTCATTTGAAATCCAATGTTTTATCAATCTAAAACTTGTATGCCAATAAATGAAATGTGTACATATTTTATACCATGCTTGCTCCTAGTGTTATGTTGGTGTTGAGAGTCTATGCATATTTTGCACACACACACACACACACACACACACACACTTGTGAAAAGAGCTACAACACACAAAGTTCCTAGTGCTCGTTAAGATTTAGAGACAAAAAGTTTCAAACCGAGAGCTGAACGAACTCCAGGGCTTCATTTCAACTTGGTTCGCTTTCAAGGACGGTATTTTGTGTTGAGAGCAGGAAAGCTCTCCTGAATCCACCAGAGCTGCACTATTTCTCACAGCGGAGGTGAACCCTGACCAGATGGTATATTCTCACAGGATCAGCAGTGATACAGTGAGGAGGCAAACAATCCTTCAGCGCTTGGATCGGCAGCCCGCAGAAAGGTCCATGAGCAAGATGAGACATTTCCACACTCCTTAGTGGCTTGACTATATTTTTCTGACCCCTGACTTTTGTGGAGGGAAATCAAGACACAGAAAAAAAAATCCTAACAAGGATCAGTAAAGTTTCATTAACATGTACCTCATTCCTCAGTGTGGTTTTTAAACAAAGATATGATATATATTTGCACTCTAACCCATTATATGTCAGAGATCTTATCCTAAAGAGAAGAAAACATTCAAAAGTGTTTGAAGAAGGAAAAAATACCAAAAATGATTAATTGCCATAACAAAGTGTTCTGGGTGCTTTTAATATAGATTATGGTTATGTGAAATAATAAAAAATAATAAGTTTTTATCATGCCATTGAGATTGAGTGTTTGTGTTCTTTTGAATTGAAACCACATTTCCCAGAAACTTGATTCATTTCTAAAATAAAATTAGATTTTCTGAGAGGACCAAATGGGTTGGAAGCAACTTTCAGTCTGTCTTTCACCTGGATGAGTTGCTTTGCCTGAAACTGGTCCAAGATCACCTCTTCACAGTACAAACCTGCATGGGCCTTGGCGCCAGGAGACACAGGTGTTGCGGTAATTTGAATAATTCCTCTACGGGGCTGCAACTAATGATTATTTTCATTATCAATTAATCTGTTGACAGTTTTCTCAAATAACTGATTAACTAGTTGTTTGGTCCATAAAATGTCAGAAAAGTTTGAGAAATATTGATCACTGTTTCCCAAAGCAACATCCTCAACACAAAGAAACCAACGAATATTCACATTTGGGAAGCTGAAATCAGAGAAGACTTAGAATAGTTTGCAATTCATTTAATAGTTGACTGTTGACTGTAATTGATTAATCAGCTAATCGTTGCAACTCTAAACTGCTCATTTGTTTGTAACAGAACAGGGGGTCCATACCTTGTTCACCAAATGAATGAAGTGAAATGTGCTGACTTTCAATTCTTTATTTAATTTTATTAAATAAACATTATACATTTGGTGAATGAAAAAGAAAGTTTAATGAGTAGTGTTCACATGTTTAGGATTTCACCTTGTGAACTAATGACTATTCTTTCAACATTTTTAGTGGGAGTGGTACTAATTTGCCTAATTCGAAACATCACTGTTGGTGTATGGAAGCCAAAACATGGCACCACTGCATTTTTAAATTCATTTTCAAAATAATTTAAAAAGATTTTTTGGCCTTTTATTGCCTTTAATAGTTAGTGACAGCTGAAGAGTGACAGGAAAGTGGGGAGAGAGAGACACAAGGGCCACAGGTCGGAGTCGAAGCCATGGCCACTGCAGTAAGGACCCAGCTTTGGTATATGGGGTGCCCCCACAATGGCATTTTAATCCAGTCTCATGTCTACCAGTTAAAGTGTTTGTAATAAAAATGTCGTATAAAGCCTTTTGTGTCTTCAGAGGGAGCTGTGTGAAGTCTGATGAAGGGAAACTCTTGCCCAGTGCGTGCTGACACACTGCAGGCACCCGGAGAACCTGCAGTGTGAATCCCAGCAGACCTCCTCTCACTAAAAGCAATCATACAATTTAACAAAATAATCTAACAAAAAGGTGTTTTCAACTAGGGCTGCACAATATGGTATAAACATCACATTGAGATTATTTTGACAGATATTGCAATGACGATATGGTTTGCGATTGTGAGAATGATCATTTTTGTATTACAAACTCAGTTTTAGCTGGAAAAAAACATTAGAATCACGAAGGGACATTTTTTGGGGTCTGTACCAAACAAACACATTCTCCAACTTGGAGAACAAGATTTGTAGTCCAGGGCATCTCTGCAGAACCACAGTACTTCATTATACTGTGGTTTGTCACACATTTTACCTTTATCAAAAAATGAACGCTGTGATTACCATATTGCACCGCCATATTGCAATTTTGATAATATTTCGATTAATCGTGCAGCCCTACTTTCAACGACATGTCACAGTCAGTGGATGGAAAACTACTAAGTGGACCAATGCGTTAAGATAAAGGCCCAGAATGAACTTTCCCACTCACTCGGAGAATGTGACATTGGTTATTATTTTAATGTTGCTGGCAGCATCTTCACAGTTAATACATTCCTCGCTGCTCTCCACTTCATGAGGTTTTCTTCTCACATATTAGTTTGTGTGTGTTTCACCTCATTACTGCCTTTGCTTTTTATTTGACTTACAAACCCATAAAACCCTCTTTTGCAACCTGAACCTGGAACCGACTGGCACACTGATTTTTTCTGCAGAAATCTGATCTACTGACAGCCGACTATTTGTTGAAGTTTCAGTTAAGACGGTCCATTCTGTTGAAGGATAAGAATCCAGTGTTCTGTTATTGTGTAAATGCAGACAAAGTAGGCAACAGAAATGATGCCAGTCGGATTTCCCTCCCAGGATTTACCCTCATCTGCGTTTTTTGAAAATGCCATGGTATTTTGACAAAGAAAATGTGGCAATTTAATAAATTGTCCTGGAAATGATTTATGGACTATACTGTATTTTGCAATTATTCCCATACATTCACATATTGTGGCTTTCAGCTGTTCCACTGTGGTGGAACCCATAATGACCTTTTGTTACTTTTCTGAGATGAAAAAGTAAACCAGGAAGGAACAGCACTTTTAGGATTTGGAAGCACACCAACTTAAAAACTCATAAAACTGTTGACATCAGTGCTGCAGTGAGACCCCAGTCCTCTGCTTCCTTCTAGCCACACACATATAAAAACATGATCACTGCTCTCAGTGGCCTCATAGAGCAAGATGTGACATTTCTCAAAGCTTGTCTGTTGACCAAACATCTGTTGTTGGAAGGAGCAAACACTAGGTCTTTCATATTATACAAGCTCCTCACTTTTTAATCTCCATTATATAGAAAAAAGGCTTGTACATCGACAAAAAAAATATAATAGTAAGTAGTAAATACAGGGTCAGTTTACACAATTTAATATTCAAAAGTCTGATAAATGTAAAATAAATCATCAAGTATTATATAATATCTTACACTAACATGTATACAAAACCAAAATGCCATAACACTATACATGCATCTATATAATTTCAGATTTCCCCTCTAATAAATGAAACATAATTCTTAGAACCATATTAATGTTTTTGTTTACTCCATTTGTCAGTGTCCCACTGTTCTTTACACCTTGCAAACATGGCTACTGATGATCTTTTTATTATTAAATATTATAATACAGACACATATCCATCTCACTTACTAAAAAGCTGCTGAACTTGAAACATGTTACCAACTGGTTTTGAACGTCTGCCTAATCTTTTTGGACTTTGGATTTCCCGCCTGCGCCTTTGGATTCGTTTGCCTGTTTGGACTGCTTTTCTGGTTTTGACCTTTGTCTGCCTCATTATTCCAGAAGCCTAGTCCAGTTTTGTACAATAAATCCTTTAACTATCAGCCAGCCTGCATTGTCTGCATTTGGGTCCAACTTTTTACTTTTACCCCCTACATTCTTACACAAATCTCTGTACTCCTACATTTTCAAAACAGGCTTGTTGTTTTAGTTTCACTGCATTCGAGAGGAATTACTGATTTATCTTTTATTGAATTTATTTTTGCATCATGGCATGCCTTCCCAACATCAAGATCAACATCACAATGATAACATAAAAGACATAATAATGTAACAAGATCAAACAGATGAGCCAGGTAGTTTCAGTTAGCTTTGCAGAGAAACTTTTTTCCTTTTATACTTTCAGTCCATTTCAGAGCCTGTACTTTTTCACCTTTACTTGAGTAAAAAAGTTGTATGAGTACTTCTACTTTTACCTGTGTCTTTGTTTACACATGTATCTGTGCAGAAGGATGTGTGTACCTTTGCCACCTCTGGCTGTGACTGTAGTTTGCGTACGGGAACTACAATGGCAACATGGAGAGCACTGCACAGAAACTAGTGAAGTTACAGGTACAGGTCACATCCACAAAGGGCTCTGCTACAGTGGTGACAGGCGTTTAGGGCTGGAACTAACAATGGCATAATTGATTTATCTGCTGTTATTATCCCTAATTAAGATCCTCTGGATGAAAAGGTCTCAAGCAGAAAATTAATTTACAATCTGATCTAATTGACTCCTGTAACAGATGACTTTATATTGTTAGTGCATTTGGCACCTGTTCTCAAACATGTACTGGTCTCCGACTTCTTACCGTTACTTTCCATTTAGTGTAGCAGAGCCTTTCCAGTGAGCCAGCATGCACAATGACAGCCCCCTGACTCTGTTTGACCTGAATGGAACCGAACCTTAACTATCACTGATAAAGCCCGTTTACCCAACTACTTTATGTCAAAATCGCTGCTGTGAAGAAGGTCTATATACTGTAGTCCACATGGACATCAAAGAAAGTGAGTGACCCGAGCAGATTTACATGCAAGGCATTACTTGATAAAATGTACATGTTCCCGTGGAGTGTTGGACACCATATCAGGCTGTTTGCAGAAAAAGCTGGCCCTCTAGCAGCAACACAAAATAAATCTCAGAAAAAGAGCAGGGTGTTATTGTCTTATGTGTGTTGCCTAATATGCATTTAATTGAGGATTCTCAGCAATAAATTGGACTATAATAATTCAAGCAGCCCTCTGATGACCTTGCGCTTCATGCATGGTTAGACCTACAGTTACTGTGTGTGTATATATGGCTGCACACACTGCATGTAGTTTCTAATTCACAGCAGAAATTTGATATGAAGCACAAGAGATCAGATCGTTCCTTCCTGCGTGAATGCAGCATTTACACTAGAGACACTGCACATTTGTGTGAACCTGATGGGCTTCTCATCTCTCAGCCGTGCTGGGGCGAGTCCCCTCACAGGTCCTCCTGCTGTGAGACTCAGCTCAGTTTACACTGCAGCACAACAGATTGCCCAAACAGAGAAATGTCTGGCTTCACTCCAACATCCACAGCTAGTGTTCTCCTACAGAGAAAGCAGTCGTAATTTAAAGACCGCATAAAGATTTGGGGCAGCTTACTGCCTCAGTTCTAAATGACTGTACTTATGACAGCTGTAATTCATCGGCTTTATGGTTTATTGGATGTACTCTGGCAGAAAAAGTATAATTGGACTTTACTGTAAACATCCCTCCCCTTTGCCAGTGGGCTTTGAAATGAGATCTGTCTGTGGCAGATGGGGAAACAGAAGATTGTTTGGTATGCAGATGTACCACTCCTATTGTTTTGGTGAGGCAGCTGTATTTTCTCTCCGTGTCTGTGTGGGTTTTCCTCCCACAGAACAGAAGCATGCAGGTTAGGTGGATTAGAGACTCTAATCTACCTGTAGGTGGTGTAGGTGTGATTGTGAATGTAGACTTCACTCCAAGCCACATTTCTCTCCCAATGCATGCTGGGATATGCTCCAGCACCCTGTGGCAGCGGACAAGAAAAGTGATTTTGAGAATGGATAGCTGGCATTTGACAATTTACTGTGACTCACTTCTACTACAGCTACTAGAAAGCAAAGAATGTAATGTCTGTTTCAGGCCACAAGAGGTCAGTGCTGCGCCATTTTAGGCTCCTGTTGAACGCTACAGTACATCAGGGGTTGTGGCTTTGTTTTCTGGGAATCTGGGGACCTGAAGTGTAGTCTGCAGTTTGGAGTGCAAGTTTAAAGGACACATCGGCTTGCTAAGTAATGATTTCAATATTGTTTTAGACTCAATGTCCTTTAACCAAGAATGAGAAAAAAAAACATGCATAAATAAATAAAATTTTAGAGTAGTCAACTCAGACAGTACAGGACTGTGTAGGATTTAGTGAAGCTGCAGACTGCAACCATTCAAATACAGCTCAGTCTTCCAAGCGTGGAGGAGAAACTATTTTGGCTTCCTAACTCCTGAAAAACACGAAAGGCCCCAGCTAGAGCCAGTGTTTGGTTTGTCTGTTCTGGGCTACTGTAGAAACATGGGGTTTAACATTGCGTACTCTAGAAGAGGACCCGCTCCGTTATTATACACTAATGAAAACATAATTATGAATATGATCTTCCTAAATGTTACACTGCATCTTTAAGTACACTGTCCTGATAATACTTCCTGGCTTTTACTTTTGAATTTACTTGTAATTAAGTGTTTTAACTTTAAGGATATTGTTACTTTTACTTAAGAAAAGCATGTGAATGTTTTATCACTGGCAAGTGGATGTTTCGCCACCTGTTCAAGTGTTTTAATCTCATCCAGATGAGTATGGATTACCGAACCCTCAGGTTCACTGCCTGTTGGTTGGCTTTCGATCATTTAATTACCTCAAAATGTGTTTTTCCCCAACATCAGCTAGTCTTGGACCTGCATTATTTTGTAATGTTCACTTATAATGTTCAGCATGTATTCCTAAAATAAGGTTGTGGGAACCAGGGGCCATGTGCTGTTTGGTGAAAGGTAACATATGCAGCGCACTGCGGGCCTGAAGTTGGGGGCCATTAATAGCGACCCAACAAAAGGTCGTTGCTCCAGGCCCTTCTAACTGGTGAATCCAGCCATTCTCCTGGGCTGTAGTGGGGATTTAATTAATATCACGTATCCAACCCTGTTGAGACGTCCCCAAATCCTCTCAGAAATTTGGATCTGACAATATTTTATATTAATTAATACATATTTCAACTTCCCCAATATTTGTCTAAATGTTGTTTAGTCCTCACCACACTGCCAGGAAAAGTTCAATTTAGTCCAGTAAAGTAGTCCAATTTAAATAGATCAAGTCTAAAAATGCATGCAAGGAGCAAATGAAGGTCTAAGTGTCTGATGCCACACTGTTTGATAAACTGTTCACCACTTGTTTTGGTGCTTCGGATCAGTTAGCTGTCTCTTCATGAAAATAAAGTGTAAACGAATGCAGTAGAAAGAGAGATTTTTGGGATGTGGAGGCGGAAAAGTACTTTTGGAGGACAATGTTTATTTACAACCTCAGTACAATTTTTAGAATGTGCAATCTTACATGTCTGACACCTGGAGGGGTTAAAATCACATCTGTGGCAGTGTAAATGCTGCCACAGATGACGGATTGTCTCTCCTACCTCGGGTAAACATGTGGGGGGGGGCAAAGGCTCTTGGGAAATCCACTGCAACAAGAAAGAGAATCTTTTAGCACCGTGTCTGTGTTTCAAAGACACCAGCTGATGGCAGTGTGCTGAGCCGAAGTCACTCTGTCCATTTTAATGGGTTCTTCTCCATTGTACTTTACAGCAGTATATTTCTTATTGTCTCATGATGGTTTGAATGCAGGTTTAGAGCCTCTTCTTTTGTCCAGCTAAAGTAAAATAGTTTATCAGCAGCTGTGAATCAGTTCTTGCAGTGAAAGCAGGATGTGAAGCAGGGTGATACATGCACAAATAATTAAGGAAAAAATAATATTAAACACAGAACAGCAAAGATTTGGTTGCTCCATAACTCAGACCTTTATTATAGCTTAACACACAAAGCACATTGTTTCTTACGCTCAGTTCAAGTATACTGTTGGTATACATAATGTAGCTGTTCAACATGTACTGTACCCTCAGAAAACAGAGGACCAGTTTGATAGCACCATTATAAAAGTACAATAAAACAGGATTCACACACACATTATTGTACGAAAACGTAATTTTAAAATAGTAATAAAACTGTAAAAAGACTAACTTCAGTTAGGTACTCGTGGTTGTCTTTTGAAAATGTAAAGAGTAGAAAAATAGCATATCTGCTACTCTGACTGCCTGAACAGGGAGAAATGCTTTTCCATGTGCTCTCTTGGTTATGAGAAGATGCTATCTGTGCCACAACGGGATGGAAATCAGCTCTTCTGTTTCCTGGGTATAAAGCAGTGCTGTGATAGCAGTCCTGTGATCCTCCTGTAGAGCCCGCAGTGCCACTGGCCGTCCTTGACTTCAGTATCAGATATGAGGTTTAAATTAATCATTAGTATTTTTATTATTCATCAGAAAAAAGAATCAAAAATGTTTTCCAGCCTTGGAGCCTGTGAGTGTTTGTGTCAGTGTGCATGTTTGATTGACAGCTGAGCTGGACACACATGAAACAAACTAGCTCTGCTAACGTTGGCTTACAAGCTCATTTGTTAGAGTGTTTCAGCGATAGAACAGAGATGTCTGCTCACAACACAAAGTGTCATCAATTTCATATATAGTTGTACTTGAGGATCAAACTAAGCAGAGTTGAACGGGACAGGAAACATTCATGCATATTTACTTTGCCCCCTCGAACAAATCCACTAATCACAGCCGCCATTATAAATGCTGTGTAACCAGGCCTAGAATATATAGCACAGACAGGGCGTTTGGTTCTCCTAAGAAATCACAGGACATGTGATTTACACAGTGGATCTGTAGGCTGTAGAATATGCAGTTTAATGTCAGTTGGAAAATATTTGCCACATGCACAGTGTCGTTTCAGCATGACATTGAGCAGTTCATTGGGACATTAGGCAATCTCTGATGGAACCTCAAACAAACAAATACTGGGCTGATTCAAAGGATTACAATTCAGCAGTAACCTGATACCAGGCAGAAAGGCTGAGTTTCACTGCCACAGTATGTCACAGTGTACTGACACACCCTGAAGCACACTTCATCACTGCAGCAAGATGAGAAATTACACCACCATAGGGCAGCAAAAACAAGATTTTTTAGGTGGTTTAATTGCTCTTTAAAGATGGTGAATGAGGGCGTTTAGTAAAAAGGCACTGAACGAGGAGGAGAGAAATATGAGGTCCCATGTTAGTTTCAAAAGCAAAATATTGCTACATATCAGAAAGAGGAAAGAGAGAATATATCAGAACAATAGGATGATGTCTGGGAGCTGAAGCTGAACTCAGTCAGTTTGAAAAAGCTGTTCAATCGCTTCCATTTGCTTTTCGCTAACTGGAAAGTGTAAATAATGCATACTGTAATGTAAATTACAAGCAAATCTGTGAGCAGAGTTCTGCTCAAATAATATTTCTGGACAAACTGAGGTTGCCTAACACCAATGCCCACAAGAATTGTAGTCCAAAACCTCTTTGAAATGTGACTCAGACAGTCTTGTCCATGTATGTGTTTCCAGAGTGATTTCAGAGAACATATTCTCCAGTTATTTTAAAAAAACAAGGTATTGGGGCACTTTAAGGCACTAGGTGGGTTGGTCTTTCTAGCTGAATCAGGCAATTAGCACTTGTCATTGACTTGCTCATAGCTCCTTAGGTAAGGTAACTTCATCCTAAATAACCAGTAATGCAAAAGAAACGCTCTGTTTGCCTCAGTAATATAACCTCAGGGTATGTGGCCTTCAGTGTGTGAAAGCCACTTCATGAAAACTCTTTAAAATGTGGAAGAAAAGTGCATTTCTTTCCAAACAGACGGCTGCTGCTGTTATTGATGGCTCCTCTCAGTCCTCAGGGGACCTGGCACTGACATCCCAACTCTCCAGCAGGGTGAGCTTTGAACAAAGTGTTGCAGCAGGGTTCTGTTAAAGTGCTGCACTTCAAACAGGACACATTCTTTATCACGTTCTCCGACGCTGCACCTGGTGTAAAATACCTGCCTCTTCCCAGCAGGTTTATTTCATCACTCATTCAAAAGAGAAAAAGTCACAGGGCACACGGAGAGCTTTGCCGCTCTCTTTTTTAACCAGTGAGGTTGGAAGGGTTGGTGAGGCTGTAGCTTGGACAGAAGGGGGAATAAAATATTCTTTCTGCTGAGGGGGTCAAAAGGGGGGTGGGGGGTGCAGGGTCAAAGAAAGCTGCTGCCTCCCGGGTGAGGGAGAACATAAAAAAGATGGTTTGACCGGGGCAGGGCTGGCAGGAGCACTCCACCATAGACGGAGAGGTGTAGTGGTTCAGCGGGCTTCAGGTGGCCTCCCTGCCGGGTGGGGGGAGGTGGGGGGGAGACAGGCAGTCGACTCCTCTCCTCTGCTTTGTCTTTACCTGTGGGTCACCTGGTTGTTGAGGAGGCCTGGGAACGTCTGTTCTGTTTCAGTGCTTAATGAGCCACCTAGCAGAGACAGACAAGAGTTACCACATACACTTTGTTCTTGTTTCACACCAGTTTCAGTCACCCCCACTGATACATGCCGGCGGTTTCTGCCCTGCAAAGTGCCCTAGATAAAGAGTCAGTGAATTTTATATTGTCTCTCAGGGCTGTAAGTATTGCGACGCACAGTATAATAAAAGAGTGTAGAACATATTCTTGAAATTTGTACTTTTATAAAAGAATCCTATCTCAAGGTCTAATCACAAGCTTTTTCCAGAGCTTTCAACCAGATTTCACAGTCTCACTGAGACCAGGGTTAACATCTCCCTCCCATATGACAACCTCTTATCCCGTGGCCAAAGTTTCATACAGACTCCATGATGAAAGTGCAAAGTCTTATCTGCTGATGAAGACCATGAGAACGAGCTGAAAGCTTCAGAAATGGACTGTGGCAGTACTAGACGGCGAAGGAGCCTGAGAACCAGTTCTCAATTACTTTGTGAAACATCTCACAGGGACCTTCACAATGAAGAAATGCTTCTTTAATGATAAATGTCTCTTCAAAAAGCAAATGGGATTAGGGGGGTTTCAATGAAAATAAACCTAACAACAAAATAAGGCCTGCAGGCAGCAGGTTATCATGCAAGCAAAACTAGTGGGACGGGGGTCTTTAATGGCTTACAGACCAGAGTTTCTGCCTGAAAACATCTGCTAAAATAAGTTCTGCACTAAGTTAAGCTAGAATCAGAGTGTGCAGTTCCCCAGCTCTCTTATGCCCTAAGGAATAGGCGTTGTCACACCCTGATTGGCCGAGAGGGGAAAGCTGCTCTCAATCACTGTTGAGGAGTCAGTCCCCACACCCTGAGCAACAGGTGATCTGAATAACCCTCCAACCAACCAAAGACGAGTTTGTCAGCTAAAATGAACTGAAATGGGAAAATAAATGACACCAAGTACAAAAGAATCAGAGTCTGCTACAAATAAAAGTCATAACCCGAAAATGGAATAATCCAAAACATGTGATAAATGCCATGAGTGCCTGGCCTTCAGGGTCCATCTCCACCTGCCAATAACCACCGCTGAGATCTATGGTGGTGAACACAGTCGCACCTGCCAGAGATTTAAGTATCTATGTTCATTAACACAACAGAGAACAACATGAAACCGGGGTCTCCCACCATCTTTTCCTGGTACCAATACAACTGGGGATGCGTATGGTGAACAGGAAGGCACAAATAAATAAATAAATAAATAAATAAATAAATTTGATTTAATCATACATGCAAAAACTCTTACGCAAATAGCACTAAGATCTGCCCTGATACAGGTAACCTAGGGGAAAGGGGTTCTTTAATATTTACTCAAACTAAGTTTCAGAAAAGCAAAGACATGTCACAAGGGCCTAAAGACCTTGAGCTTGTAATATATGCTAAAGTGAGGTCTGTACTAAGTTGAGCTAGGATCAGAGAGTGCAGTTCCCCAGCTCTCTAAAAGAATGGGCGTTGTCACACCCTGAATGGGGGAGAGGGGAATGCAATTTGAACAATAAAGTTATAGCTTGATTCTTTTAACGTTATGTTTTAAGACATACTACTGATGTAATGCATTGGTGTGTGTTTTGTGTTCTAAAAACTCGCTGTTATAAATGTTATGAATGTATGTTCATTCCACATGACTGCCCCTATAATGGATGGAAATTACATAATGTCTAAGTAACTGCTGCAATTATATGTGCTCATCAATAACAGTCGGTAGAAGCTTCAGTTGTTAGGTCATCCACATTAAAAGGACAGCAGGTGTTAAAGATAATTGCGAGGTCTTACCATTATGGCAGCTGTACATCCACACACGATGGCCATCGTATCGACATCTGCATTTCATGATGTTATTGGAGTAGTCTGACTCAGGTACTTCATAGTTTGGATTAATTATTATCTGGGAGAGAAAGAACAAGTCAGAGGTGACAGTAAAAGGCTACGGTGTGTAGGTAATTTCACTCGGAACAACGGAACACAGGAAACTTTACCTGGAAAATGTAGTCTCCAGGTTTGAGATCAGTTATGTCGACCCACTGGCAGTCGATGTCGTGCCTGTAGGTATCCCAGCAGCCCACAGTGATGCCCTGCTCTCCGAAGTTAGCACATTCATACCTCTTTTCAATACCTGCAACAATGGTTAGAATACAAAATGAGTTCTAGTTTGCTCTCCTTTTAGTTCGGTTTTGGTCTCCACCAACTCCTTAGCCAAATATCTGGCTCTTTTTCTGCTAGATGCTCCAGCTAGTTGCTCACTGTGTCTGTCTGCTGTTTGGTGCTGGGTACAGCGGGTTTATCAAGACTGTTTAACTGAAAAACAGCTGCCTTGTGTCTGGAAACAAGGTTGATGAGGCGGTTGACTCAACCAAGCAGAAACAAAAATTGCTGTGAATGTCGTGTATGGCCCTATATCTAGAGCCAGTGTTTGGTTTGTCCGTTCTGGGCTACTGTAGAGACATGGCAGTTCAATATGGCAGACTGTAAAGAGGACCCACTCCCTCTGCAGACAAAGCGGCTCATTCTAAGGTAAAAAAACGAAAGACACCAAATAATAGATCCTCCTAAATGTTACACACTGGACCTTTTTAAAAGCTCAGACTGTGTGAAAAGAGTTTCTGCCACATTCTTGAAAAGTAAAAGTATTCACATCTTGAAATCAAGGTAGAAATCCTATTGTGCTTCTCACCTTCATCACACTCTGAGTCCTCCAGGCAGAAACTTGCTTTGTGTCCTTCCGCCACTTTGGTTCCATTGAGGCTGAACATGTCATAGAGCGTGAACACCTCCATGCTGTGATAATGCCTAAACACACAGACAGAAATGTAGTTTTACAATCCTAGTCAGGCAGAAAATGCCAAACAACTGTACAAGAACAAGAATGACAGGACTAATGTAGCCCTAGTCTCTGCTGAAGAATGAACCAATGTTCTTTCAATTCAAAATCACAAACTGGCACCTGAAATCCACAAATGTTCTTTTAAATGGTTGGAGTTTGGCCAGTGAGAGGTGCCTAAGGTTTGATGTGTTGAAAGCCGGTAGCTGTGTGAAGCGGTTCCTCCAGCCAGCACAGGAACCACAAGAATGTGGGACTTTTTGGAGTGCTATGTACAGTAACTTTAGCTCACAGCACACAGTCAATTACAGGGCAGCAGAACGTATGGAAGGGGAAAACTGCTCCAGAAAGGGGCTGAGTCATCTCTCTTTCCCTGAATTAAATCTAATTTGAGATGTCATTTCTGAATCGTTCAAATGTGTTCTTCAATTAGGTAAAATTATCAAAAAACATTGTCTTGCGTCATGAAGTTCAAACTTAGTCATTTGAAATCTTAGGAAGAGTTATTGATAAATGCTTACACAGGACTTTATGCTTGTGATTTCTAATTAAACTGTGATTTATGTTTCTGGAATATACTCTGGTTACAACCGCTTCTGCAAATCCTCTGTGTGTGTGATTAAGAGAGCTATTATATGATAAATGGCTATCATTTTTTTAAAGATATGAATCTGCAACAACCCTGCCTGCCATCATTTCCCATAGGGCACACATGCTCATTGTTCTGTAAGACGGATTGCACAAGTTTCCTTTTTAAATGCCAATATGAATTTTTTTAATTAATTCTGCCAATATTACATGCTTAGATTTAAATATCTTTCTATCGCTGCAAGTATTTATCTTTTAAATATTTTATTAATTTCAGAGTATTTAGGTTTTGGAAAATATACGTATTCACTTTCTATCTGAGAGTGAGACAAGAAGATCAATATCAGTCTCATGTCTGTGTGTTCGTACAGAGCTGGAGCCGGGAGGTGATTAGCTTAGCTTAGCATAAACACTTGAAGCAAGGGGAAAAAGTTAAAATAAAAAATAAAAAAACAAATAATTAACACATGACTTGTTTGTTCCATCTATGAATATAGAGTTTTAGGGGAAGTTACATGCTGGAACTATTTTTTGTCAAACACGACACACGATGGGACCAAAGCTGGCAACCTCGCTGTGGCGACAAGAGGAGAAAGGTCGCTGCACCCAGCTGCTGTTTGTCAAAAATAGTTCTATCTAACTCCCACTAAAACCATCAGCTTATTTATACATAGTGAGCTTTACAGGTGCTGTTAGGCATGTTTTTGGACTTCTTCCTGCTTCCAGTCTTAATGCTAAGCTAGGCCTGGCTCCAGCTGCTGTTCCTGGCTCTGGCTTTCTTAGCAAAACCTACCTGTTGGAGTCCAGTCTGTATGGCGAATATTTGAATATCATTGCTAATTTTATTTTATTGGCTAGAATATAGTCAGTGAAAGAATGAATAAGGATGACTATTCTGTTCATAGATTTCACATGCTTGTTACTCCTTCAGTCTACAGTATGGACAGTTATGCAAAATCTTATCAGACTTGGATCCCTGAGACTCTCTTTAAAAACGGGTCCTGGTCTAATGTGTATCAGTTTGGGGGCGATACCAAAAAGATTGAGAACCACTGAGCTGAAGGACAGCATGTCAGTGTCACGTTTTGCTTCAACTAGAAGTGATACATACAAGCCTTTATGAAGATGCATTACCAGCAGTATAAAGGGCCACAAAGTCTGTGTTTGGAGGAGGTGGACAAAAGTCAAAAACTGCGACCTCAGAAGTCTTTACCTTCAAAGTGTAACCTGATGTTGCATATTTATTATTGCTAACTGGACCACAAAATAGGAACATATAACATGGTTCATGTACTGTGTGACACTGACCTGTGACAGTCGTGCCACACCCAGGAGTGTCTGCTAGCTTTGGGCCGGAAGTCCGACTGGCCGTTGTTGTGGATCTGGGAGGAGAAGCGCAGCAGGCGGCGGTAAGAGTTGGCCGGCACCTCGCCGGAGTTGGAGGACAGACAGTTCTCCTCGTACGCACACTGCAGCATGAACATGGGCCTGTCCTCCATGTAGGTGGTCTGCTCCACCACCTGAGGGTTCAACACCAGGTCAGGAGCCGCTGTGGACAGGAGGATCAGAGGGAAAAACCCACAGAGAAGCAGACGGAGACGAAACATATTTAGACACAGGGAGGAATGGCTCTCAGAAAAGCTCTGGCGCGTGTCAAGTAAATGAGTGGTTTCTGTTTCAAGCTGCACAGTCCTCTTGTGATTCAGGACGGATATTGGAGTTTCAGTTATGCAAACATTTCTCCAAGGCAGGGCTTCTCCAGAGGCAGAAATAATTTCATTTGTTGAATTAAAACTCAATGTGCTGGAGAAGCTTTTCAGTGGGAACTGACAAATTGAAAGGCAAAGGCTCCAGTCAAAGTATAATTAAAAGTGGAAATATCAATTACTTCTTTTCTTTGCTCATTCATTCATGACCATACCACATCTGGGATCTTAAAGGGGCAGCAGACACATTTCACTTATGTAACATTACATGATTTCTGGGCACAATGTTTGACACTTATCTCTCTGAAACATCCTCAACATATGAATTTGGGCATCTTACTCTCAGAGCAGGAGACTCCTGCGGCGTTGCGTCCACCTCCTTTGGGGCAGCTGAGGTGGGTTCCGTGGTGCAGGCAGTGGGACAGAGACATCTCAGTGCCAGAGCAGCGGACGCCACTCATCACAACATTGTCTGCGCTCACCTCTCCCGGCCAATACCACGTCTCCTGTTGTGAAAGCATGTTGTCTCATTTCCAGGTCATCAAATACAGATCTCCCAACCCAAAACGTATTTCTATCTTTCTCAGCTCTGATTGGTTGTTTTCATCGGGCTGGTGGATTCTTGCAAATACCATTAGGAGCACTAGGAGGAGCCAGAGGAACCTGATTTTTTCACAGATTATCTGTCTCATGTACTACTGTCAGGACACAGTGAAAGTTTCAACAATAATGACAAAAAGTTATTTTTTATAAAAGTTACCTACTGCAGCTTTAATGTCACAACTAATATTGGCCTTTTAAAGAGGAAAAAAAGAACTATTATTCTTTCACTGTGGTCAACTTTAGATATGATAAAGGGGCTTTACTAATTACAGCTAGTTGATTTGTTTTATTTTGAAGTGCAGGAAGATTTCACTCAACAGCAAAACCCAGCAGTCAAACCATATTTAAGGGCCATGCTTATGTCTTATTATTACTTTATTATGATTCACCTGCAGAATTAGAAGAGACATTTCAGCTATTTTACTTTACTTTTTTACTTTACTACTTCACTAGTACTATTAGTACTCATTATTCGTAGTGCTGCCATCCTGAACAAACAAGGCATCCCGGTAACAGCCGTGAGTGAGTGCTTTTACACTAATACCATGAATTGTCATGGTGGAAGGTGATTCTCTACTTTGACCACTAGAGGGCACACCCTATCAATTTACAGCATCATGGATGGAACATTACATTGGATAGATCATGTGGTGTATGGGCTGTGCAACTTATGTTCCCATGTCTGGAATATATTAATGTGTAATGGAGCTGCCAGATGAAGAAATGAGATAAGACTGTAACATATTACAACACACAGCACCTCTCAGCCCTGCCTCCACGTGAACCTGACATCCTATAATCATACAGAAAGCATTATTTTGACATTTTTGCTCTGCTTCATGTCCACACACACACACACACACACACACACACACACACACACACACACACACACACACACACACACACACACACACACCTTCTGTTACTGTTATCCTAGTGCATACTGCACTGCAAACCTGCTGAAGTCCTCCTTATCTTTAGGTGACAGTGGGAGTCTATCAATGTATATGGCTTCCAATATAAAACCAAAATCATTTAATTAAACAGGCATTCTATTTTCCATTTGTATGCACATGATAAATGACAAAATAAAAGAAAATTCTCATGTTTGAAAAACCATTACTGCCAAAATGAAAATACACAGCAATAATGATAATAAATTATATATTTACTATCAGACTGGCAGGCAATGTGCAACCTAAAATAAAAAATGTAATTGCAAACTTCACTTTTTCAATTGAATTATGTCCTGATTTTAGCTCGGTTCTAATAAAAATGTCATAAAGGCACAATTCTGTCAGTCCTTTTCTGTAAAAAATAACTCAACCGCTATAAAATGACCACGAATAAGGCCATTTCCATTTCATTTTCTTTAGAAATTAGATAAAATAAGGACATAATTCAAATTCAAATGCAAAAGTTTAATTTTTGTAGCAATTTTAAAATTTGAATTTCTTCAGTTGTAATTATCAAACAAATTCAATTTCGATTTGATTAAATGATTCATTGTAACATTAGCAGTCATATACTTCCCGCAGAATGCAACCTGCCCTATATTATTTTGTAAAAACACAAACAAATGGCAGGTGCACAATAATGTGCCAATGCAACCAAGCTGGATACCAGTACATTACTGTAATTTAGTGGTTCCCCAAATAGCATGCAGATGGGATTGGACAACCGTATGTGCTCTTATCTAAAACGTGAAATGAAAATGTCCACCTTTAAAAAGCCATCAAACTCAAATTGAAATGAAATTTTTTTTTCAAGGATCTCACATGGCTTCCAGATGGGAAATCCATCTAAACCAAACACATTAAATGCAAACACCTTGCTGTGTTTGGCCACTAGGGTAGTAAAAAGAAAAAGTCAGTCAGCCTGGGACTGTGCAGTGGGGGCTACAGTATGTGATGCTGGCTGACTGGCTGTTAATTAAAACAGGCAACTAACTGATGTCAACAGTCATTTAACCTAATAGCAGACAGACAGTTGAAGCAGATGGAAGGAAGAAAGGAAGGTAGCTGAGTTTGACCAAACGAGGAGAGAAGAGAAAATAAGCTTTTAGATGAAAGCAGAAGAAGACTCTGAAATGAAGAAATGGATGTGGTGGATTTATTTTTACACCATATCACATATCACTTCTCTACCATACACAGTGTATTTAAAAACTTTGGCTTGCTCAAGGGCATTTAAGTTGAGATGGCAGATAGATAGTGGTGACCCTCCGGATCCAGAGACAACAATAAGCTTTATTGTTTCTTTCTCTGCGTGATTTTATTTGTCTTATCCCCAGCAGTCACTGGCCACAAAACAAAGTCCCGACATCCATAGTTTGGCTGCATGTCATTTTCAGAAACTTCAAGGACTTCAAGTTTATACAGTGCTGCTGTTGGGAGAATAAACTGCGTCATGGAATAAAACCAAGAGTAATATCAGTGCTTTCTATGGAATGAAAATGTTACCTTGAAAAGCTAAACTTTTATTACAGAGGCGAAGACTGTCTGTTAATAAAGTTTCATCTTATTTATTTTTTTTATTTATCCAGTCAGAAATCAGTGTTTCTTCTTGTCCCTACAGTGTGCTGTTTGAATGCTGTCTGTTTTCACATTCATCTGCTGAAAGTGGAAACTTTCTCTGTGCTCATTGTAAAGCAGATATTAAGGGGCGGGGCCTATGAGCACGGTGGTTACTGCTGAGCCAGCATAGCTCAGCAGTAAGGGTAGCTGCATGCACACAGGTAACACTTTATTTTACTTTATGTTATAGTTTCCCTTCATTTCCTTGAAAATCAGCTGATGTGTGGCCTTTTAATTTGTGGGAAGGATCCTGACACAGTTTGGGTTACTTATAAGAAATACAGATAGAGAATTTCCTCTGGAAATCAACACTTGTTTATAAACTAAATATAACTCATCTCAAATAATAGAACTCTATATTTCCCTATTGTTAACATGAAATAGTTCTTTCCAGGAAACTTAGGTAGTTAATAAGAAATTGTGGACAGCCATACAAGACCAAGGTCAAGACTTTGGAGATCTAAATGTAGCAAAACATAAATACCAATGTGAGGTGTGAGGTGCGAGGTGCAATGAAACATCAGGCCTAAACTTGGACTGCAGAAGAACCTGTTTTCACATCATTGTCTAGGTCTGACAGAATGAAAGAACATTAAACCCAATACACATCATTTGGTGGTTTTGTTCTTAACTATTTTCACATATGTAACATTTGAAGTGAAGGACAAACACAATCCTGTTATGTTCAGGACAAACCCCTAACAGGCTGACTTCCACCCCCTGAGGGGGTGCTGCTGAGACTCGTACCTGGAAAGCATTGCTAGCGAAGCCCAGGCCCAGCTGTCTGCACACCACCATGGCCTCCATGGTCCCCCAGCCTTCACTGCACACCGTCCCCCACACCAGAGAACCGTTCCTCTCCATCAGCACCTCCACACGGCCCTCGTAGGGGTTACGACCTCCGCTCAGACGAAGCTACGGGCATGAAAAACAGAGGCGCCGACTTAAGGCTGAATCCATGCGTTGCTTTTACATGAGATGTTTGAAGTGATATTTGGTGCATGTAGCTGTTTAACATCCCTAAAATGTTGAGGGAAGATTTTTTTCTTTTAACCTCAGTAAAGATTTTGTAGCAGATAATAGTAAGACGTCACTGCAAAGACAAAAATACAGCATACAAGACAAGATATCGAAGAGGGCTTTCAAACTGAATGCAACCAATGATTCTAAACTGTAGGAAAAGCTTTAATACACGCATGATAGGTATAGAAAACGCTAAATTATTACTTAGAGCACTACGAGGAAAAATAAATGCAGTGAAGAATGCTGAGAAAAACTCATGGAAAATGATCCTTATTCTGCAAGACATTTTTTTAAGTGTTGTAAACACTATTAAAATATAGATATTTATATCTTGTTTCGTAGTGAGTATGTTGCTGCAGTGACTCACCGACTCCTGGAAGCCCATAGCGGGAACGTTACATCTGACGGCTGCATCCTCCTCATGGCTGCAACCAAGAGCCTCCTTGTTGAAGAAGCACTCTGTGATGGACTTCTCAAATCCAGAGCACTCCACCTCATTCATATGCACCGGGCCCATACCTGACAAAGACGGAAAAAGAGGCGATTATATGGCTGGCCATTTTAAAATACAGCTCTGGTGTAAAATCTTAAAACTTTCAAAATTTTAAGAAATTTTCTTTTTTGATTTCTTACTGAAAGTTAGATTTCATGTCTGTAAGCAATATTTGAAACTGCAGATTAGCTTAGCTTAGCATAATGACTGGAAGCAAGGGGAAACAGCTGTTTAAAAAGTCTACCTACCAGCACTAAGAGTCTTGTCATCACCAAGAAATAGTAACAACACATAACTCTCCATAAAGCCACAACTTTTATTTTTTAATAATCTTTGGACAGAGCCAAACATCTCTTAACACTTTCACGCTCACAACATGATGAACCCTTCTGATATAAGTTGCCAAAGAGCTTCACTCTGACTCCACCCTTTACCCCAAAAACTCATTTTGACCTCCGCAATCTAAGACTACAAGACAATAAAATAAAAAGGGCTCCAGATAAGAGTTAAAACAGCTCTGATTCATTTTTGCAGGCTTCATGTCTGCTATGTGCTAATGAGTCATGCCTCTGTAACGATACTTGTGTGAAATGTTTTGCTGTTTATTATGGTGTACTATTACCAACTGTTTTTTTTTTCCATGAAGGGTTACAGAGAGCTACTGATGGGAAATCATGATGGAAAACTGTTTTTGGAAAAGGAAAATTCCCTCTATTTCAATATTTTCCATGTCTAATGTTACTGGAATGTGCAGCAATGTACAGCATGTCCCTGTTTATGAAAAAAGAAACACCTCCTATTCCTGCTGCATAGGATTCTTCTTGCAAATTATTGGTACACTTTAGAGAAGAATGTACTTTCTCTATAGTCGATCCTGATAACAGGTGAGCTAGGGCTTTAAAACACTGTATAACACAGGCTGGATATTTGCTGAGTGTGTAATTTAGATGAGGGTGAGTGGCACATTTCAGTTGGGTGGGGGTGTAACAACTTCCAAACCTGTTGTAAAACTCAGCTGACTGGTGCAGTCTGGGAAGAAAGTCCTCAGCCCAGACCATAAAGTGAGACTGCACAGTGAAGGCCTCCATTAGAAAATAACTAGGCAATACAAGGAACCTTCAGGAAGCACACGCTTTGCCTTGTACCTTTCAAAATAAAACATACATTTCCAAAGTGACATGTCTTTCTGTCAGTTATGATAGCAACCCATATTTCTAATGATAACAAAACTAATATTAAGGGCCTGTCCTCACGAATACATGGCCTCACCCAATATGATGTCGTTTGGAAAGAAATCTCCGTAAACACGGCGTCGTTTCCAGAAATATCTGCGTCCACACGGATTCACTGAAACAACCCAGAACATATGCCAGGCCTGTATGTGGTGCTGTGACGCCACCACACCAATACACTAAAACCGGAAGAGAAGCCATGGAGCATGCGCTGTTTACGAACAAGTAGTAGTAGTCCGCCATTGTTGTTGTTGTTATGGCGCGTCTAGCGGCAGCGGCTGAGGTTAAAGGCTAAAGAGGCGGGGCTATTCCGTTTTCACCGTCCAGACGACTCCGTGCAATCCGGCGTTTTCGGATTTTCCCACTCTGGGACCCGTTTCCAAAAAATACCGCTTTCACACCCCGAAAACGCCGTATCCGTCTGGACGCGAGGCTGATACAATAAAGTATTTATCCGGATTCGAGAAAAACGTATTTGTGAGGACAGGGCTGTGGGGCTCTATCTTGCACTAAGCGCAATTGAGTTTGTGCGCTGGCGCTTGTATAATTCCTATTTTGCACTCGACGCACATTGGAATTTTCCCTCCACCGACGCACGTCCTTAAATTAGGGAATGAACTTGCGCTCCGGGGGGCGGTTCAGCAAAAAGAGGAGGCGTGTTCCGGGGCAAACGTTCCCTGGTGCTATTTTGCTGTTTCAGAAAACAATTCCGCCACAGACCAGGAAAAACCTAGTCTAAAGTCAGTGGTGCTTATTCAGATGCTATTTTAAGGGCGCAGACTTGAGGGGATGCGCCTGAGAGGCAGCAGCAACATCGCCACCCGGTCAAGATGGGCATTAATACTTTGACGCATCCCGGACAGCTCCCGCTCCAGCATGTCAAACCCGGTTTGCTGCAGGAACGGGTGGTCCTCCGGCGTGTAGTGGGTCTGGATCCTCTGCTCCTTGGTGTTTGCGCCGCTCCCTCCTCAGCGGCCCTTGCGCACTGCTTCCGAGGCCAGGGTCTTCTTCTTGCGAAGCTGCGTTACATTGTTTAGATTTATTGTATGGCTGTGTTACATTTATTTCACGTCAATAATGTCACTTCTCTGTATTTTACGGCCCTGACGAGAACCTCGGTCCCCTCGGCTGTGAACCGCTCCTGGCGTGCGCCTGGCAAATCCACCGTTATAATAGCAATCCGCCATGGAACAAGTGCGCCTGCTTTTAAAGGGAATGTGAGATGACGCTCTGATTGGTTTATTGCACGTTACGCCCAAACCACACCTATGACTAATGTAGCTACTTCAGGCCAACCCATTTTAGATTTGCGCCGGGCGCAAGAGTCATTTAACCCGCAGGCATAATAGCAACAGTGCCGAGATCCGCCCAAAAAGCTACTTGAGTTTTGCTTTTGATACTTGCGTTTCAGATCGGCAAGATAGGGCCCACAGTGTTTCTACTGACAAACCCACTGAGAATTAGCACCAGATTCTGCAGATTCCCTTATCTTTACGGAGCCTTTTAGCCTCTTTCAGCTCATTGTTTTGGTCTTCAGGCCAACAACTTTACCGTTTTGGTTCACTGACACTGCTGTAATCATCCTTGTTTCCACTGGGCAGCTGCTTTCATTCAGCAAAACCTGTTATACACTACCTGCCCATGCACCAAACAGTTGACAGCCAAAGTTAGCAACTAGCTGGTGAACGTAGTGGAGCATTTAGCAGCTAAAGAGACAGATAAAAAACAGAGCTAAAGAGAGAGACAGTACAGGAGTTCAAGTTGCCAATAGGTGAATTTAATAGATGGATCGTGTTGTTAACATGTTACCACAACTACATCAGTCCCTCGAAGAAGTTGAGATCGCAACAATTAACGCAAATTCAACCAATCGCCTTGAATTCTGCACGACCAGTTTTTCCCAATCACTGAAACTTTTCCTGTAAGTTTGACCACTCATAGCAGTCCCTCATGCAAAATGTAGAACTATACACCACCAAACTACTAGCAATGTTATTTTCACTGAAACAAGTGTCCTTTGATTTTTAATGAATTAATTTTTTTTTACAATTTTCACTTCCTCCCACAATTTCATTCCAAAAAAAATTATAAAAACATTGCAACATGCAACAAATTATTTTTGGAAATGCTGCCATTTTTGGCCACAACAATCCCCCAAAAAGCCTGCAAAATCCTGTAGGGACTTTGTGATGTAACGTCGTTTACAGCTTGATATACTACCCCCAATTGGTAAAAAAAACAAAAATGAATGCAGCTTTAATGTACAAAATAAATTCTACGTATAGATAGATACCAATCCAATCCAAATGGTAATTTTATGCCACAGCATCTAAACAGAAAGTAATGGGTTAGAGGTTTAAGTTTTGTGCAGAGACTTTTCTCTACAGGCTCTGTCCAGCTGAGCAAGGCTTTCCTTTCTTTTTTCCTCTTGCAGTGCAGAGTGATTTCCAAGCTGAATACCCAGGAACCTAGTTCATACAGTATATCCTTGCAGAAAGATATCTGAGTTCATACCAGCTCAGGAATGGATTCCCTCTTCACTGACCTGCACAATGTAACTAATCCTGTTCTGCAGAGGAAATTCACTTTCACCATCAGGTCTGTGAGTTCATGATACTCTGCTCGGTGGCAGACGGGGGTGGTATGAGGAGAAAACCTAAAGGATAGAATTACTGCCTGAAATGTTTGGGATATGTGGTTTTGCTACACAGTCTTAACCTTCCATCTCGTGCCATGTAGGCAATATACATGGACAGTTGTTCCAACAATAAAGACTGTCATTCTGAGCTCATTGGCATGGGGTTGTGTCAGGTCTACTGTGTACTTAGTCCAGGCTGTTTTTTCTGTTTTTTCTGCACTGGTATGCTGCTCACAGTCCATTTCTGTATGCTTTTCCCTCTGGTTGCACTACACAGCTGTTTACAACAGAGGAAGAAGGTGTTGGAGGAGAGGAAGAGCAGCACTTGAATGAAATCAAAAAGCTCTTAAACCCTTAACCTGTTCCTCTGAGTCGTCCCTGCTCAGAGTGGCACTGCATAAGTAACAATGAAAATGTAAAGCCATATACCTTGCCCCAGGCGACCTCCAGACAGGGCTTCTTTGGCCGTACCGAAGCCCAGCTCTCGACACACCACGGTGGCAGACAGCAGGCTCCAGTTGTCATCACATATGGTGCCCCACTCCCCGTTTTTCAACACCTCCACTCTGCCCTCGCCTACGATGGCCCCACCACGAAGACGAACCAACGGTTGCTGAAGGGGAAAAACAGAGACACTGTAAAAGACATTGCTGTAAAATGTTCAAATTCTCAAACCGCATATTTAGGTTATTCTGGTTCTTTCACAAATAATGAGCTCAGCTGAAAGTTTGGACCAAACTTTTCCTTCTCCGTGATGAGAAAGCTGAGGCAGCAGACTGGGTGGCTTCATGTTTATAGAACATGCTTTTAATGCGGTTCTCCCATTAACTGTTTAGGCAAACTGGGAGAATGAAGTAAACATATTAGCAAAGTTTAAGCTGCCTAACTGCTATTTGTATCCACAAAGTAAAGCCCAGATGTCGTAATGTGTGGGGTCTTGTAACAACTCCTTACTCCAGCTATTTACAGTACATCCTCCACATAGTTTCATTAACATTAAACCCTTTAAAGACCCCCTTCAGAATAAGACATACATACGATTAGTCTGCTTGGAACAATAATGTGTGTACTTCACTGTAAAGTCCATTCTCAGTGGATGTGCACTGGTGGCTTCAAGTTTCTACATCACACTGTACAAGTTGATACTGGACCAGGACTGACTTATTATTATAAACTATTTGTGATGTCACAAATCATGCTGGTAGGCCCCACCCCTTAAAATCAGATGTTCAATGAGCACAGAGAAACTTTCCACTTTCAGCAGATGAATGTGAAAACATCCTTCTAGTGTGAAGCTTTTACAGCTTTTACAATATATCATTGAAATAGTCAAAATAACATGTTTTTTTTAACTGTTGCGGTTGCAATTTCAGGACATCACCTTTGAAACTGGCATTTTTAACTACTTTATGACATCATTTCACAGACGGTGTCATGTTTGAACTGCAAACTAAAATATGTAGACAATATGAAAACTGTCATGATTATACTGGATAATATATATATGTCACAATATTAAAATAATAATCTAAACACACTTAAAACTCTTAAAATGGCACTCAAACATACAGGAATCTGTTTACCTTACATTTTGTTAGAAAAATAATATATAATATAATAAATAATTATTGCCTTATAAAAGGACACTTCATCTCCCTGTCCTATTGTATTTAATGTGTATCAGTGTGTAAGTCAAAGATTTTAATGTACTTCCAGCCAGCAGGACGTTTTTATCAGACTTTGTTCCTTCCAAACAGTAAATATCTGTTTTTAGGATGCCGAGTGTGTTGGAAGATTTGGGATGTGATGTCAGACACGACACTCCCAGCCTGGCACTCAGCTGTGGAAGGAGACGGAGAGCAGGCAAGCTCGAACCTCTCGTCAGAATGTGGATGGAGTCACACAGACAGAAATTCCCTTCAGCTTAGTAGTGCTGTAAATATTGGCGGTAGTTCCTTGCTTGATTTAAACGTTGGTGTGGTTGTTTACAGACTGAGTGAGTTTCATGACCCTTGAAACCTTAAGACAAAAACTGTGAGTCAGAAAAAAATCCTTCTTTTACCCACTGAGGTGGTCAAAGGTCAGAATCAGGACGAGAACAGCACCCATGGAGCCAGTTGGGAGTCATGAAAAGACTTACTGAAGGCAAAAAAAAGTTTCTGTATGACAATATCACAAAATTTGGTCAAAAACTGTTTTGGTCAGAGTCTCTTTACCTCACACAGTCATGCATATGTAATTATAATTATTTAGCATGCACACAACATGGCCAAAAGTGTGGACACCAAAGCATTACACCCACATTTGACAAGTCATTCCAAAATCATGGCCATTATGTGCCGCAATCACAACCTCCACTCTTCTGGTTTCAGGCTTTCCACCAGATTTTGGAACCTGGCTGCAGAGATTTGCACTCATTCAGCCAGAAGAGCGTTAGTGGGGTCGGACACTGATGTTGGGTGATAAGGTCTGGTTGGAGGCGGCCCAGAAGTGTTGGATGGTGTTCTGACTGAGAAAACAATTTTTTTATGGACCTGGCTTTGCATGAGGGTATTGTCATGTTGAAACCAACCCGGTCTAGCTCCAAAGTCATCTTGCAGCCTCTGCTTCGAAAAATGACGCTGTAGGTATCCCTCCAGCATTATTTCTGGACACAGCGTCATATTTAACGGCAGAGAGCCACTGACCCAGCAGCAGTATTTGATGAGCCGGAAGTGAGAACATGTTGGTTGAAACAGGTAAAGGCCTTCCTCAAACTGCTGCCACAAACCTTGAATTGTTAAATGCTTCCCTTATCTCGCAATAAGGCTTCTTGCCAAAACCATGACCAACATCCACAGACCAAACAGTTAATGCACACCTGGTGAACAGCTGCGTAGGAAAATGGAATCCTGTGGAAAAAAGGTTGAAACACATAACACTGTGTCTCTAATAAACGCACTAAAAAGAGCTGACAGTAAAAAAAAGTCCCTTTAGTATTGTTGCAAACAGAGCATCCAGCCTCTGTGAATTACAATCCCAACTCATGAGGTTTCAACTATCAACTGCACAGGGCTCTTCTGGAGGGCTCGTCTGAATTTCTTAGTGAATAAAACAAGAACTCTTCAAGCAATAGATGTGTAGAAAACGGCCTAATGAAGCAGTTTTCACTGACTCTGGGTCCTGCTTCCATGCTCACGGTCATTTGAGGGGAATAAAAGTTAGCTGACATTGGCGTGGCTTTCTGGAGACCCATGTTTTTTCCTTTCCCTGTCCCAAGAAATTTTACTACATCGTGTCATCTTTTAAACCCTGAGATGATCATAACTCATTTTGATGAGCGATGGCCAGGGCAGCTACAGCTGCAGTTCACAAAGTGACACCGAGTACAGGACGTCAGTGTTGGCCAGATGTCTAACCAAAACATTTCTTCTCCCTCCCTCAACATTAGAGCCAGCGAACTGAAGTGAACTGGAGCAGCTATTTGCTGTTTGTTTACCATTTCAGCTAATTGACACCATACATAGACATCACACATATTTACTTTGCCGCTGACAGATTAGTAGTATAAACTTCCTGTTACAGTTGCCATTCTTTTTTATGTTTCTAAAACGAGTTTGTACTGAATGTACTGATTTTGAATACATGACATTTGTTATTTAATTCATCAAGTATTCAAGTTCATAATTTACCTCATGTCGGAAGGCCTTCCTGAATCCCGTCATGGGTGTCGGTGCAAAGGCTTTTCCGGGCACACAGCTCACTACCACAGGCAGCCCTCCGGCACAGGTCTCATTGGGCTTCAGTGTTGTAGCCTGCCCCAGTTTACAGCTGGATAAATGGGCTTCATTGCCAGTGCAGTTCACAGAGTAGTCCCAGTATGAGGGCTTTCTCCTGCGAGCAAACATCCTGGACAGATGGATGAGAAGGAAAGCAGATTAATAAAGTCTTTGAGAGGATGGGAGGTTACTCGTTTTCAACTAACAGACGAGTAGGTGCTTTTACCTACCACTGGACAGTAAGAGTTAAAGTGAGTTAAGTGTATAATGTGTGACATGTATGAATCACAGAGAATTATCCCCAGACTCTGTAGGTCTACAGAGCCTTTAAGCATCTTTCAGCTAATTGTTTTGGTTTTTAAAGATTAATCCAGGGATACTCAACTTGCCAGAGTTGCCCTCTGAGCCTTAAATTGCATCATTTTCCACCTAATCCTCACTACAGCAGCTGTTTTGGCAAAAAACACCCTAATAAACCTGAAAGTATGGGACCTGCCCAGCACCAAACGGCTAACAAACATGGACAGCTGTTAGTTTGGGAACATGGTTGAGCATTTAGTCGCTAAAAAGCCAGATACTTCCCTCAGGAGTTGCTGGAAACCCAGACAGAGCAAAAAAAAAGATTGAATATTGGACTTAAATATGTCAGTTCACCAGATAGGCAACTCCAAATCAAAGTTGCTCCATGTATGATGATGCTGATGTATAAATAGTCAACAGTTTCGGCACATTAGCTTAACAACTTGTAAGGATGTTCAGTTGTTGTGGAGTTTGGTAACCAATAAACAAAGATGATGACAGTTTATGTACTTTTTTCTCAAATCATTTGAATACATTTTTTACTCCAGGTGAGTACCATTTTTGGGGTGGATGAGAAAATAGGTTTTCATCAACTTGCTCAAGGGCACTTCATCAGGGGGACTGAACCTGCAGTTGAATGTCTAGCTCTACTGTTTGAGAATCACATACAAATGCCTTTGGAACATGTCATATTAATAGCCAACATTCATCAAGATCTGAATTATTAGACTTATCAGAACGCTTTATCTTGACACCGTAAAACCTGACAAGGGCAATCACATTAGCATATTGTATAATTATAAGCAAAAGTGAAAGGTTAGCAAACAGCTGGAGAGTTCACAGTCTACCATATGAACTTGAACAAACTGGGGTTAATGACACTCTTTCAAGCCTGCCGGGCTGCTAATCTCTTCCTCCCCATTTATTACTGAGCCCATATTATGTATTTAATGAGCCTCATTTGCAGAATGGCATGTCCTGTCCTTGTGTCTCATGTCTGAGGTGTACGTGAAAAAATATATCAAGACAGGACAGACAGCATTTGTGTCTTTCATTAGGAAGCTGGCGAGTGGCAGGCTGCTGACTGGAGGCTATCCAAAGCTAATGTTCTGCACAGAGGACCGCCTCTGCTATCTCCTCAAATGCAATCTGAACACCATGCATGATGCATATCAGCGATGTCCAAATGGAGCGATGATTGCATAAACTGGCGGTCCAGAGGCTGTGAAAGTTGACTTCTCACCAAAATCTTTCAATCTAGCTTCAAATATGGTTACATGTTTATATTGAAGTTGTGCTTTTGATAAGCTTGACTGCTATTCTACACTACTAACTTTCTACTTGAAATTATGATTTAATAACAATAATAATAATAATGACTTGAGTTGAGCAGGTAGGCGATGAGAGGCAATATCTGCAGCTTAAAGATATTTTAAGCAACTTTTACAAGATAGTTTAATTTGTTGGACAATGTTTTCAATGTCATTGTTAAAATAGCAATGGTATTATTAAGTACTCATATCGGTATGTAAGTACCCAAATGTATGTACTTGTACTTGAGGGACATCACTTGAGTCAACTTGGCCTGGGCTTGGAGACCACCAAATTTCCAGTACAGTAAAATATCTCTGGAGTACTACAACTCTACTACAACAACAAAAAAACACATATTAGTGTTACATGTTTCTTTATCCACACACATTACATACATAACATTGAACTCTTGACTTCGATTTTTCATAGAGACATTTTAATTTAAACCTGTCAAAGTGACTCTGGATAAAGCTAAACTAGAAGCAACACAGGAGCATGAGGCCTGGGGCCAACTCAAGATTATGAAACTGCAGCGTCAAATGGCAGCCACTGAAGACACACTGCACGTTTCACACGGCTGTAGCAGGAGGAGGCTGACACGTAGATGGAAAGTTAAGGAGCCGTCGTGCTCTGCTGTGGTTACCTAAAGCAGAGGAAACTTCCAGCCCAGGCTCAGACAGTAAATTCGAGGCTAACTTGAGTGCTGGATGTTTTATGGTACGCCGCGATTAACCTGTGGCCATTCGGCTGCAAGCTTCATCATGTAAGCAAGATTTAGATCCCTCAGCAGTCCCTTGTGGGTTACGACAGCTTTGTGGAATGCACTGATGTACAAGTATGTTCAAGGTATAAGGGCCTGTGATGTTAAGCATGTGACCCACACAAAGGAAGACTTGGGACAACTGGGGTTATTTCAATGTATTTCAACCCTTTAACACCAACTCCTGTTATGGTGGTAGTCTTCCTAAATTTCAACAAATGGGCTGTTTGTGATCATTAGACCTTAGCTTTTATTTCAACATGGCTTTATTACACTGTTGAACTGCTAGAAGGTATGGATACGTCATATTTCTAAGGATTCAGCTGTATATTTGCTGTGAATTGAAACAGGATTATTTTTACAGAAGGTCTCTTAACACTAACAACATGGCAATCCATATTAGTTGTAGCGCCAGTGTCCTGATGGAAGAACAGAGGGTGGTATAAGGTTAAAAAAAATACTGTATAATAAGCATATTTAGGTCAGGGCCCTGACAAGCTGACTAAAACATTTTATGTAATGAGTCTCAACTTTAGGTTGGAAAAGTAGCCCACCACATAGTTGAATGATTTCCACTATGGTACTTGACATCCCTCAGTAGATATCACATGTCAGGTGAAAAAGCCCCAGGTTTCTGTAGGCATCCCAAGTCAAAATCTAGATTTAAGAACTTTTTGTTTGAGTTGATACTATACTATTGTGCTATTGTTGTGATATATGTGATATAGATCGAAGAAGGTCTGATAAACTCTCTGTACACTACCTGCCCAGCACAAAACAGCTGACAGATGAAGAATCAACCTGAACATAGAGGAGCTTTAGCAGTAGAAGAGCCGTTTTAGTTTTCTCAGTTGGTGGAGACCAAAAAAGAGCTAAAGGAGAGTAAATATTGGACCTTATTTCTAATTCATTTGTTGGACAGAAAGTAGTTTTCACACACATAAATATACTCTGTATCTCTGTAATATATCTCTGTTTCAAGATGGTGTACCAAGTAAAGGTAAAAATCATCTGCCAGTTCCCCTGAGGCAGATTATCCAATAAATCACCCACTGACTAACAATGTTACAAAATACCTGAAAAACCATGTACAATGAAGGGGCCACTGGTGAATCAAACCCTAAATCCTCCTCTGCCCTTTGAGTTACCCAGGACCACACATACACGTACAGTAGTGGAAGACTCACTTGTAGACTCTGGCATTGTACTTCCTCTCCCCAGGGAAGCCAAACATGCCACAGATGACTCTGCTGTTAAGCTGTGTCCACTCTGCGTTGCAGATCTGCTTCCATTTACCACCATCCTTGACCTCCACGTAGCCCTCTGTTACAGGGATCCGCTTACGATACGATGACAGGATAGCTCGTATGCGCACATCCTCCACTTGAATATCAAGGTTCTGTGGACCAAAGAAATTGACAAAATGTGCACATAGGTCAAGAAACATGCTTTAATCGCAGTAGTAAAAATGTAAAACCCATTTTTTGTAGCAACAAATTTTACATTTTTTGACATGTTCATGGAAACTATGAATATGTGTTTATACAGTTTAAACATATATCAAAATAATGTGTTGGTCCATTTCTGTAATTGAAACTTCATGTTCATTTGAGAAATATGTTAGTTTTACACATCTTGCAGTCTTGTGTTTAAATTTTCTGGCTAGACAGAACTCAGTCGCAATCTGACGTGACGTAAACTGGGTATACATATACAGCATTTCCTGTCTTACATAACATGCAATCAAATACCCTCACCCCCCCATCCAGACTGCAACCACAGCCGCTCAGCTCTGTGTGCGCTGCTTGTAAATCTTCTCCTGGTCACTTAAACATTTTTAAAGTAAATCACCTTGTAAATGCTAAACACCGTGACCGACTGCCCTCTAACTGTTTTTGACTTTAAAAGCCAGAGGTATCAAAGGGTTTTCATGGTAGCACGTGCAACACGTGTAAAGCACTCAATAAAGGAAAATGCACAAACACAGCATTGTGAGTGCACGTGGAGTAAGGAGGCAATTAAGAAACTGCCATTTCTTTCCAGACGCCTCACGTCTACATCACCATCTACCACAGACTTGAGCAGTACAGGCCTTGGACAGTCCCATAATACTTAGACAGAACACCAATAGTTGTTTTGTGTTGGCATCCTTAAAGGTTTTACTTTTGAGCCCTGACTTCTTTCGTCAAAATTAACTCCCTTGGGTCCTCAGCAATACGCCCAACAAGTGTGGCGGCTGTGGCTCAGAGGAAGAGCGGGTCGTCCACTAATCGAAAGGGTTGTTGGTTTGATCCCTGGCTCCTCCCACCACATGTCAAAGTATCCTTGAGCAAGATACTGAGACCCAAATTTTGCATCGCTGTGTGAATGTGTATGAATTTGTATGTATGAGTTAGTTTCTGTTTGATGGGCTTTGCCATTACTGAGTATGTGAAAGGGCGAATGTGGCATGTAATGTAAAAGTGCTTTGAGTGGACTAGAAAGGCGCAATACAAGTACAGGTCCATTTACCATTTACCAATCAGGTGAACATTTCTCGAGATATGTGAAGGACACAAAGATTCCTTTCATTCTAGTTAGATGATGGTGCAGCTACCGCACCACCTATTAGCCACATTGCATCAAATTTGTCCTGGTCACGTAGACATCATACATACATATGTTCACTAAATGTGTTCAGGAGATGTGACATTTTTTGTAATCTAAGCACTGTCCATAGCATTTGAGCCGATTTTGAAGGCAATCTATATCAAAAGTTCAATCTACTAGAGCAACAAGATTGATGATTTTAGTCTGTAGGTCCACCAACTAACAGTTTTCCATCTTTTTCTAACTTATCAATGTAAGGCAGACTAAAACAGAGTCATCTGATTATCTAAGCAAAACCCAGTGGCCTGTTACCTCACAGGCAGTGTGAGGCTGTCAAAAAACAACTCAGAGCCTTTCCTCTTGGACTTTTTGCAGGGATTAAATAAACATTTTCCTCTCCCATAGACCAAACCCACATTCTTGTGCTACGTGACAGTGTGGGCTGAGGGGACGGAGCTCAGTCTGGCTGGGGGGGGTGTACATTGCTTCACTCAACAGATGGGCTGGTACAGACTCCTCTCATATACAGCCAAGAAGAACCTAGACATCAAATAATGAGAAAGTAGGGTTTCCTAAATTGCCATTTGCCTCGGGGGAAGGGCAGATGCCACCGGAGTGAAAACTACAAATCATCAGTCTTTCTATGCTCTATGCTCTATGCTGCTATTTTCTCCCAAAGATAACCACATTAATCATTCTGGTCAGAGGCAACGAGGTCTGGACTGCAGAGGATATAAAACTGTATAAAGGCTGAAATCATGGAACATGATAATGACTGGCAATGTGGTGATGGTGACCTTGTCTGGATTTACTGGATATACAGTACATGAGTCAGTGGCAGACATGCAAAAAAACAGTCAGAACCAAACACTGTGAGTTGGATTGGCAAGGAAATCCGGACTGCTTAAACCAGTGGTTCCCAATCTTTTCCCTTAAGGGTATCATTTAGTAAACTGACGACCCCGAAGTGACATATTTTATGGATATTTAATATTATATTTAATGCATAACAATAACAGTAGAGAGTAACTGATAAACTGAACAATGAACCCAAAAAATCAAAACAATAACTGCAGGAAGTTTGTGTAAAATGAGAGATTTGGCTCTGAGAAGGCTCTGTGAATATAACTGGTGTTCAGGTCTTCCATTTACTTTTTTTTTTTTTTTTAGTTTAAATCTTAAATAATAATCTTAACTTTAAATGTAACAATTTCATTTAGTTTTCTTCACAGAAATGAACAAATGCTGAGATATGGGCCTACAGAGTTTTGTTACACCCCTTGGAATCAAGAAGGCCTCACAACCCCCTGTGAAGCTTTGGCCACCCCTAGTGGGGGTTCCGACCCTCAGGTTGCTTTAAACATCCAACCAAACAGGGCTCTGGGATACTGACAAAGACTGCTATAGGTAAGCTTGTGCTCAAATATTGAGACTGAATGTCTGGTAAACAGAAACAAAATACTTTCTCCCCTCTAAAGATTGAACCAAAAACTCATAAGAGAAGGTCCGAAAAAAACTGCATTTTTTTCTATTGTTTTGAGGTAAGCACCCCCCCCCCCTCCAGTTTAGAGTTCAGATGGTCCTCACGTGTGTGTTTACAGTCCAAACGTCCATTGGTCTGCAGAGAAGACAAGGTTTCTAACATGTGCGTCTTGTTTCGGAACAGAGGGCCTTTCCTGAGTCTTTGCTTATCCAGGAGAAGTAGCACAGATGGAAAAGCCATTAGTGGGATGAGTTGTACGGGAGAGGTGAGGGGGCCCCAATGTGCTGCAACTGAGCTCTGATTCACAGAGGCTACTTCGAGGCTGAAATCCACATTTTTCTATTTCGAAAGCTCTTTCATTGCTTGGAGCTTCAATCCCTCAATTTTGAATATCACTACACTGTGGTCCTGGAATCTCTTTCACTAAACTTTAGTGAACTTCCATATGTAGGGAGGAAGCCACTGCTTAAAGGAGCAAACCATTCCTTCCTAAAACACTGCAGCTGTCATGTAACATTAAATTAGAAATGGAAAGGAAACAGTGGTTCTGTAGGAATCCATTTTGAATCTCATGACTAAAGTATAGTAGCACTGTCTGTAGTTACACTTCCTGGATGTTAAAGCAGCATTCATTGATACTTTGACCAACTGAGGGCGGAAGAACGAGCTAAACACAGCTAAATGTTAGCTCATATGTTAGCTTTGAATGTTGTTGGTCTATTTACACATCCAGCAGACTCAGAGAGAAAAATATCTGGCTCTCTAGCTGCTACATTTTTGACTGTCTTCGTTCAGATTGTTATTAAGTGTCAAATTGAAATGATCCCTACAGAGATAGAGGGTTAAAAACACAAAAAGGTCACACAATAACACAAACAAGCTAACCGGCAGTGGTAGACCAGCAGCCCCTGTGCTCTGTGTAAAATTACTGTTTTTGTCAATTGAGTCTGGTGGCTTTGAAGAGAGCGATATAACGGCTGTTTCTGGTTAAACCAATGGGGTAAACAAAAAGAGTACTCTTTAACTAAAAGGTCTATCTCTGTGGGTATCCTAAAAAGCACTTTTAGTTGATGCAGTTCACAGTGCGAAACTGCACAAAGAAGTACATTGCGTCCTCTTTTGAGGCTGCGGGCTGCTGCACTCCCGCTCAATACTGGACCAATTTCAAAAATTGATGTCCCCATTAGTCAGGTAGACACAAAAACAAGGGGAGAAACAGTCCAGGTTGAAAAATACACAAGTTTCCCTTTAATATACCAAGTAGTAGGCTAAACTGGCTAAAAGCAGCTAAAACACTCCATAGAGTTAGGGGACTTGCAGCGTCGAGAGACAACTCTTTGTTTTTTAGCACTATGAGCAACAGTCACAATAAACACAGTATCTGAATCTATTGTTCATAAAATGGATTGTTTTGTGCAGCTTTAAAGAAGAGAATGACATAATCTTTATGTGTGAATACTGACTACACAGCAGTGATGAGACGCTGGTTGCTTAAGACCTTTATTGGAACCAGATGAGAATATTTTGCATTGAATTCACTGAAACCACACATAAATGAGTCTCAGCATCCAGACTTTGACCAAAACATGCTGCTGAAGTGATTTAATGCCAGCTTTATCTGAGGACCACAGGACATAAATATAAAGACAACTAGGCTAGGACTAGGAACCAGCTATGAATCACTTCAAAAAATGGACCTAATAACTTAATTCACTACATAGAAGGTTGCTGGTGCCTGTGTTCTGACCATTAACGCTGCACTCTCTGCTACCATTGTAAGAAGTGCATTTAAGCTATCTTATCTAACTCTTTCTGAACAGCACCCCCTGTGGTCATAAGTCGCAATTACAGGTAAACAGCTCACTGAATTTCCCTTTCCATAGAGTTTCATGAATAAGTTGCTTCAAAAACATCATCATCATGCAACCAGACTGGGGGGGGGGGACGGGATGCCTGAAACAATAAGAATGCCTCCTGGTGAGGCAGCTACGCCGTTTTCTCCCCCCCTTGTTTTACTTTGGTAAAAAAACTGGTGAGTGTTTGTAACATAGTGTAACATTAGCACAATATAGAAAAGTCATAAAGTTAGCTAAGTGAGTTTGTAAAGCCTGTTACAAAGCAATAGCTATCCAAAGCTTGCATTAGCCACCAAAAACTACTGGCACCAAGTAAGGCTGTAGCAGCAAAAGTATAGTGTGTATTGGATTAAGTAACCTTTCATTTGTCAGGAAGAATGTGTTATTTCTCCTCTGTAAGACTACAGTCCGAGTTAGCCAAATCAAGTGGGTAAATTCCAAGACGCAAGACAACATCACATTTTCAGTTTG